TTGTTGGTCCAGCACATCCCACAGATTGGATTGAGATCTGGGGAATTTGGAGGCCAGGGCAACACCTTGTTTAGGTACTGTACGTGGCACGTGTCAAATTTACGCCCACGTGAATGTCCAGACCCAGGGTTTCCCAGCAGGACATTAAACAGAGCATCACCCTCCCTTCACAAGCTGGTCAGCATCCCACAGTGCATCCTGGTGCCATCACTTCCCCAGGTAAAGGGTGCACACGTACACGACATGCATTGATGAGCCTTCGTGTCCCTTGTGCATTGATTATCCTTGGGCGCCAAACACCCTGTCGCCGGTTTGTGGTTTATCCCTCTCAGACCACTGTTGGTATATTCTCACCACTGCTGACCAGTAACGACCCACAAGCCTTGCCGTTTCAATCTGGCCCTTTGCCAAAGTCGCTCAGATCTTTATTCCTGCCTATTTCTCCTGCATCCAACACGTTTAAGAGAATCTACCCAGACCTTAATACAGTATGTGGCCATATAAGGAAATGATCAACAATATTCACTTCACTTGTGACTGGTCATAATGTTTTGGCTCAATCAGTGTATGTCTGTGTATATATCTATATAAATAAATTGAGTGTTGTGGTGTAAACAGAACCAATAGCAGCTTTTCCAGCATCAGGCCAAACCGCTCTCTTTGCTTAACCATTCCATTCCGAGCCGATCCGGACCAGCCGTTACATACTGTATATGGTTTCATTTTCCACTGTGGCGCTGATAACAGAGCTTTTTGGAATGTAATACAAATGTGTCAGTCGGTGCCTTGGTAACGCAAGAGTTTACAGATGGTGGGAGGTGTAAATAGTGACCGCATTATGGAGGATGATCAGATATTTCTTTTAATTTCATTATTGATTTGTGTTTGTGTTGCTCAAACAGCACGCTTTGACAGCTACAGAGAAACTGGTAGCCAGGCAATAGAAAAGTGACCAATCCTGAGAAGCGATGTCACTGAACGCATTCTACCAGCATGGTTTAGCACGGTTAACCATTCCTTACCGTTCTTAGAACTGTTCAGCCCGATCAATGAATTACACTGATAAATTGAATAAACCTTGTTGTCAAATATTATATTAAATAAATTGCTTTATTAAACAGAATATTATATATATTTAACTATGTAATTGTCAAAATTCCCCTGTGGCAAAGCTAAATACATGGCAAGAAAGTTGAGCTTGTGGTATCCGACAAACGGTCCTGCCGCAGTTACTTCTAAACAACATGCTCCCTCTTTTTCCATCTTTTGTCAATTTGCAGAAGTGCTGTGGCTAAATGTGGAATGTCAACTCTGGAAGCTGCTTACATCTCATCAATAAGGTCCCCAGTGAGTCTGAACTCTCTCTACCACTGACATCTCTCAACAAAATAAGTAATGAATAGGAAAACTGCCTAAAACTGCCATCATTAAGGCTTCTTTGGATCTTTATTTGTTTACACTGTTTACCCCTTTTTAATATCATGATTCTCAAAGTAACATGCATGTAAAAAGTAATGAGACAGAAATTAAACGAGCCATCAATTTAAGTATGGAGAATGATTTTAAATAGAATCTGAAAGAAGTGGCATTTCTGCCATACAAATTAAGAAGCTTTTAATGCTTTTTAAAGATATGCCGACCTAGATCCTACAGATAAAATATTGATTGAGCATTGTAAGACTGGAAAAACTGGTTGAAGAGATAGACCTGACCACTGGTCTATGAGACGAAGGACCTTGCTGCAAATTAACATTTGAACTCTCACACACACACTTCTTCCCCACATCCCCCACTCTTGCAGAGATCACCCAAACTCGCATAAGAATCTATATGGTTTTCATACAGCTATCATACAGTTTTATACATGTGTTTAGTATTATTTGAAATGTCTCAGTGTGACTGGTACAGGTGTCCTATTTCCAAATAAGTAAAACGAAAGGTAATAAGGTTTTTAGATAACATACACACAAAGGAGCGTGGATGGGTAAACCCTCCTGCTCTCAGAAGGTGTGAACTCAATGCTAATTCCCAATGTTAGCAAATGGTACCATGTAAATCAACTTCTGCCCCCAGTAAGTCTGGGAGGGTGAACACAGTAAATTTCCACTGTGAACTCATGTTTACATATGAAATGAGGTCTGGCTATACTGTATAATGAAATGCAGCGGAAGGATCAGGGCCCTTTTCTGTATCTCAGATCGGCCTGTGAATGCTGAGGGTCGCAGAGACTCAGTATTCATGTATTTCATAATGTCAGGTAAAAGATTTTCCTCTTTGTTCTAGAACATTTGATGGTTTGCATTGATTATCTTTCAATTGATTATAAAATTGTAATAATAGATTTACCTGACATAATAAATTGTTATATTTGATTATTCTAACAGACTTTGACTTTATTTTCATTAGAGTTAAAAGGAATAGTCAAACATTCACGCATATTTAATGATGTACAGATATCATTAAAAACCTTTTCATTGAGTCTATAACGAGAAAATACATATGAGAAATGTATTGCATTTAATAAAAATCCCGTTGCCACGCGGAAAGACAGTAACACGCAGAGACCTTCCGTGCTGATCGAATACCGCCATTGGATCGATCGAGCGCGAGTTTACAGCATGAAAAAAATGTATTTCAATAATAATTATACTGTAAATGTTGATTAAATGCATTTTGTTTTCTACAAGTATCCTGACGTACCCAGCTAATTAAGCTGTAGCCTACTCATTGGGCTGGTTGTAAGTGTTGTCAGTACAGCATATAGAGTTTAGCCTTTCCCCTGAAGAAAAGAGGTCAAAAGGTTTTGGACCTAAAACTGGGGTAATGTGAATACTTATAAATAGATTTAAAGCTTTGGCAACGTTAAACAAGGTCTCAGAAACAGCCCTTTCAAATTTTTCCAAGCCACTTAAATGTTCAGAAAGGGATCCAATTCTTTCCCTGTCCTCATGCATTCAGACAGTCTTCTCATCTGCATCTCTGCAAATAAGATCAATGGAAATCCAAGAGCACTAGGGCTCCCAGGAGAAATAAACACAAACACTGCATTGTCAGCTAAATTATAAAGCAGCAGAAAGGCTAGCATTTGGTGGTTATACACAATAAATCCCCTGTAAGTCAACAGAATATTAAATGAGAGATTCCGCCCTCCGCCCTATACAAAATAGTATGGACAATTCCTCTAGTATGTTCTGCAGAGGCTATGATACTCTAATACTATTTCACAAATTAAAAAAAAAATCATAATTTATTATTAGGGATGTCCCGATACCACTTTTTCACTTCCGATACCGATACCGATGCCGCAGCTTTGGCTTTTGCCGATACCGATATTAATCCGATATTTTTATTTTATTCTTAAACTAATAAAAAATATAGCAATTTTCTCAATTAGCCAGCTAAAATATACCTCCTATATAGTCCACAACAACAGTTGATTATGAAAGATTGCCACCCTTTATTCAAACACTACAAAAAAATAAAGAAATATATAAATGAAAGAAAATACAGGTACTTCAGTACTTAAAGCTAGCTAGCTACCAACAGGTTTAAAGTTAAAACAATTTAAACAGCAGCATTCTACATTGTAAATACCAGTACAGTTTTTGTTTTTTAAATCAAGTAGAATTTCTATAACTGTGTGTTAAACTGATTATCACTCTTGTGTGTGTTAAACACAATCTACTTAATACAGACAGCTTCATTATAAAGATAAACAACAAATCCCCAAAATATATGATCATAATCTATGACAAAAATGCTATTATAAACTAGATTAGTGGATAATACACATGGCTCTTTTTATTGTTGTAAAATACATTCATGAAAAACAAGATAACAAAAATGAAAAAGATAATTATTTTAGATATAGCTAAATCTGCTATACAATTGAGACATGTTTTAAGTGTATTGCACAGCTATTTAATGAGGCAGCAACATTAATAATTATTAATGTTAATAAGCTTTAATTGCGTCACTGCATTATGATATGAAAGGCTCCAATACAGTGCGGCACAAAGCGCTTATGCGCATCCCGAGCGGAGAATGATGCGCTTGAAGCCACGTGGAGTTACAGCACGCAGCGCGTCGAGTCCGCTTTGAAAAGTTAAAAGCACAACGGAGATACATATTGATGGACAGTGTATTATACAGTATCTATCTATGCAATCGTTTATTGAGCCTTTTCTTTTAACAGTTTTAAATTTCAGTTACTGTGCGCGTGAAGAACAATTATAGTGCTCTGACTCTAGTGTTGTGATCAAACCGACAGCGTCCGACACCCGGTAGAGAGTAACACGATTGAGTTACAGCAATAAAGTCCAGCAAGATAAAGTTGTTTTATGCGAAAACATAGACCTTTATCTTACAGATCAAGTATAATAGTATTAACATTGAATCATCTTGAAGATAGTTTCATCATTGACTGTAACCGAACGCGACGCGCTGTTTGAATGCTGAATGGAGAATGACTGACAGCCGCGAGAGGGAAAAGTTTACGTGAACTTGAATTTAATGACTTAAATATTAATTTATATCTCACATAATGGCTTCAGAACACTTATAATAGAGTGCACGAAAACGTTATGGTACTTTAGAATGTTTTTGTGCCTTTTGTGGGGCTTAACAATAACACATAATAGTATACCCACAATATCGGATTTGGATCGGCCTCGTCTGATCGATGCTGATCGATACCCGATCCCGCAAAAATGGCAGTATCGGAGCCGATACCGATCCTGAGTATCGGATCGGGACATCCCTATTTATTATCATATTCAGGTATATCAAAACTAAACACTAAATTTCCATGCAAGCAATATTTATTATACTTAAAAACCTTTTATTTTATGGCTTAATGAATTTCTATTTAAATAAATATTATTTAAACTGTTGACTAGATGCATAAATAAAAATGTATAAATATAGATGTACAAAATCAAAAACAAAATGAAAAAATAAAATAAAATAAAACACCCAAACCTTGCATAGGTCTTGCTTACCGCCCAGGACTTGCTCAGTCTGAAGATGGGTGCGCTCTGAAGGGCTGAGACCACCGACACCAGAGAGTGCAGGTTATTCAACTCAAGCAGTTTCTATAAAAAACACAGATAACACACAGTCTTAATAAACATAACCCACTTACATGACTTACATAAGACTGTAGTCTTCATATAAATCAGGAGCCACTAAATTAAAAGCCTTCTGATTTCCATAACCTCTGATGCTCTTTGGCCATTTTTGACCGAACAATTTCAAGGTCTGGTGTTTTTTTTTTTTTTTACTTCATCGTAATGGTACAAAACTTGATAGAGGTTTTGGTACTCTCTATGTGAAAACAAACAAACAAACAAACTAACTAACTAACTAACTAACTAACTAACTAACTAACTAACTAACTAACTAACTAACTAACTAACTAACTGAACTAAATTCGAAAAGGTAAAAAGTAAATAACAAAAAATAAAAATGTAAAAGAAATGCGACTTCTTAATCTCACAATCGAATTTCGAATTGAGAGTTAAAATGTCAGATTTGCAGGATATAAACTCGCAATTTTGAGAAAAGAAGTCAGAATTGCAGAAAAAAAAAAATCACAATTCTGACTTTTTTTCCTTGCAATTGTGATTTATTTTCTCAGAAGTCCAATTCTGAGGAAAAAAGACTGACTTTTTTTCTCAGAATTGTGAGTTTACAGTATATCTCACAATTCAGACTGTATATTACGCAACTCAAAACAAAAGTAAGAATTGTGAGATAAGTCACAATTACCTCCAATTTTTTTTATTCCATTGCAGAAACAAGTTTTCATATTTTTGTGCATTTTTCATAACAATACATTTTTTTATATACATTTTTTTTTTTTTTTTATCAATAATCTGCCAAGTGTCTTCTTTAAAAACAGACCAAACTTAAGTCTGTGCTTCAAAACATTCAATATTTATGAAAGTTTTAGTTGGAAATATTATTTTCAAGTCTACGCTCAAAAAGTGGTTAACAGGTAATAAATATGATTAGAACTACTGTATAAATATAATTTAATACCATAAAATCCCCTAAAATACTAAATATTAAATAAAAAAAACATTATCAAATGTAAATATAGACCATACATTCAATTAATTGGAAAAAAAAAGAAGGTCATTTTGACCGGCATGCGATAAGCTTAAAGTCAGTGTACAAAGATTTGTTTTATATTCATTTATATTCGGTCTTCACTCAATGTTTTGATCTGGTCTTGTCACGCTAGTCTCATTCTTCTTTTTTTTTCTTCTAGGCTGACCTCTGTAAAGCACTGTTTCAGCCACCTTTATGGAATAAAGGAAAGCAGCACTACGTTTTTTTCTTTTAGTCATTGGCCGATCTGCTTTATCCATTAGCGTAGCCGTTAGAGTAGCCCACTCAGGCTAACTAGGGCATGTCCGCAGGTAGCAGGGTATGCAGCTCTTTCAGGTTTGGCAGGTAGAGCAGGGTGAGTGTTCAACCATAAGGAGTCATTCAGCGGGTTTCCTGTATCATGGTACACTGAGTTTCAGGAGAGCATGTAGGCTGATTGAATTCACAGCAGTCTGTGGCTCTCTGTGTGACTGTTGGCATGAATGAAAAGATAAGCATCTAAATCGTTTGTTTGTGAAATTTCTCAAGTATCAATTCAATAGAAATATTTATTTTTAAATGTATAAAATTGAAGTTTTTTTATGCTTTTATTAAAGCAAAATATCCTATTTAATAAGGACATGCAGAATAAAAATTACTGGACTTTATTTGAGACATTCCAATCAAAATTTTAATCTTGATCATATAAGTGTTATTTTGATTTGGAAATCAAAACTCAAAAGCAATAAATTCCATGCTACTGTCAATTTAAATATTCAGTAGATAGCAATTTACTATGAACAATAGAAGTGGACTGGAAATATAAAACCACAACTTTTAATTTGAAAAAGTTCATTTTAAAATATCATTTTACAGTTCATTCACACATTAATTTCCAAGGCAACTCTGCTATCTGTAATAAATTACATTTTAAAAGCAATTACAAGACAGATAAAAAGTCAAATTTGCGTGAAATGATATGACAGAAGTTATTAAGAATAGCAGTTATACTGAACTGTGTAGTTAATCACTTTCAGATGAGAAAATAGCTGTGATGAGAAATTACAGTATTTGGTTCAGGAGTAACAGTGATGACATATTTGACACTATAGGCACTTTTGACACTATTTGATACTTGTTATATTCTCCCTGTGTTGTTTGTTATCGTCATTTGAAGACAATTAAGAAACCGAATGGCTCCGTCTTTCTAACAGTTGGAGACCATTCTCGATTCATGCCATAAACACTTACCACTCCTGCACAACCCCTCTCCTCGTTCTCATTGGTCAAAAACAGAAGGCTTTAATCCATCAAGACTTGCATAACATCATTAAATTTGCCCATTGTTAAAGTGCCCACAAAAACCTTTATGTTTAATGAATTTCTAATAACACAAGTTATAGTAACGCCAGTGCCAAAGACAATTACCAGGATATCAAATGCAATTCAGATGTGAATACAAATATTAATAAATGTTTTACTGAACTTGATCAAAGTTATAGGGTTATATATCTGCTGCCATGGCAACAAGCACAAAGCAAAGAGAACTAATGATGAATAAAGTAACCAAGCTACACTGTCTGAGGGAACAGTGAAAACCAAAGAATGTCTCACCTTGGCAATTTTGATGAAGTGGCCCAATATTTCTGCTCGAATTTTCAGTGTTTGAGCCGTCAATATCTCCCTCACTGCCCAGAAACTGACCTAGGAGAAGAAAAGGTCATATGTAAATTAGTGCTGTCAACGTTAACGCATGCGATACATTTTTGTCCAGTTTAACGCATTGAATTGTCCTGACACACGCACGATGCTATGGCAAGTCAAAGTATTCATATTATGCCTGGTCGGGCGTCTGATTGCACACTGACCCGTCAAAGGCGTGCGATTTGACAGACAAAATTAATCTAGTTAATTTTTTTTAATTGATTGACAGCACTCAAGACAAGAACTGAGATACAATGCACTAGTAGAAATTCAATAGCATCTCTGCACAATAGACTAAGGATTCAGACCATTTATAGTGAAGGCAGAGCCTGAAGGTTTACATCATTTATAGTTATATGTTATATAATTGCTCTGCTGACAAATACCAAATGTTCTCAGCAAACATAACTCAAAAATGGACGCAGACAGATTAACAATAAATAAATCATAAAAAAATAAAGGAAATCTATCTAAATTTATGAGATAGAGACAGCATTTCCTCTTATTCACAAGCTTGCCAGAAAACCTTTTTAGAATAAGACTAGGCAGCATAACTGAATCTTTTCTTTTTTCCTGGAAATATAAGACATTTGTTGTTAATGATGACATTAAAAAGACCGAAATGGCAAATGTAATTGCAGACCTCAAACGGCCACTTCCAAGACATTTAAGCTCTTTCAAAATGAAATGCCATGTAAATAAATCTCATTCATTCCTATTGTATACTGACCTTCATAAGCCGATATTTATAGTCTTATTTTCAGAACTGGGGATAAAGAAAGAGTTGTGCATGTACAGTAAAGGGTGTGGGAATAGATGAATTGGTCAGGTCATTATTGTGTGTGTGTGTGTGTGTGTGTGTGTGTGTGTGTGTGTGTGTGTGTGTGTGTGTGTGTGTGTGTGTGTGTGTGTGTGTGTGTGTGTGTGTGTGTGTACAGAGAGAGGACACAGGGACTCAAGGCAATGCCACATTAACTAACAACCGAAAGATGCCCTTCAAAATATAAACAAGAAAGAAATAACATAATTACATTATATTATTATGTGCATACTACTAAATTATCCTTAATTCTTCTATTTTTGACAAGAAACCCCCAAGTGTCTACAACTTCATATTTCCAGGTTCATGGCTGGTCTGTGCTAAAAATTTAAAGGGATAGTTCACCTAAAAACGAGAATATTCCATTATCATTCTGTTATCATTTACCTATTCAATTCTATTTTGTCATTCAAAACCCAAAAGCTATTTTTCATCACCATGTATTTACTTTTTTTCCCACTGAGACAGATGAAAATGAAAAAGACTGACAAAATCTATTGTTTTTTTTTAAAGTTATTGTTCCCTTTTATTATCAGTCTCTCAACGCTGCGTCATCGATGACACTGGAAACACCTTTCTCCTACAATACTGAAGCCTGATTGGCATAATGACATTGTATTGCAATGTCCAATGGTGATCAAATTCGAAATTAGGGGCAGACACGCTGTGGTACTGTGGTGCTGTGGAACTTTGGTATTTCTAAAACCCTGCGTACGGCCATGATATTTGGTGTAAATATATCTATATATATATATATATATATATATATATATATATATATATATATATATATATATATATATATATATATATATATATATATATATATATATATATATAGAGAGAGAGAGAGAGAGAGAGAGAGAGAGAGAGAGAGAGAGAGAGAGAGAGAGAGAGAGAGAGAGAGAGAGAGAGAGAGAGAGAGAGAGAGAGAGAGAGAGAGAGAGAGAGAGAGAGAGAGAGAGAGAGAGAGAGAGAGAGAGAGAGAGAGAGAGAGAGAGAGAGAGAGTAGGAGTTGGAATATCAATACTTCTTATAAATGAATGCATTAAGTTCACAGATGGCCCATATCCGGTTAACTGTCAGCTGGACACTTGTCGTGCTTTCTTTTACGATTACATATTTTAGTAATCATACATAAGGTAGATATATGCATCTATAATTTGAAAGCGTAAACACTCAAAATTCATCCTGGCAAAACGGCTTTGAAATTGGACATTGCTTTACCATCCAAACGGTACTTTAAACTTTTTAGCTTTCTCAATTTTTGAGTCAAAATTATTTCGTACAATTTAGATTTTGTATGAAACAAAAAAAATTATTAGCTCAGTACATTTGCTTTACAGTAAACAAACTTTTTTTGACACTTTCATTTTTTGAAGTGCTTTCACTTATGCAATGTCTTCTTTGAAAAGAGAACAACCTTAGGTCTGTATTCCAAAGCATTCATGAATTGCAACCGTTTGAACCAGTTCAGATCTACTCAAAGTTTGCGCTCAAAGACATGTCAATTTGCTCAATGCTGATTTTTTTTTAGGGAAATTGTTGTTGACTAGGTGGTTCTTGGATGTTGTTTTGATTTTTTCAAAAGATGGTGTTCTGTCTGAATATTTAAGATCCACTGTTGTAAAACAATAAAGTAATGCCTTTAATGTCCATGAGTGTGCCACTGTAGAAGACACCTAAAACCTTTGAAGTAGAAAGAGAAATGTGGATGCCATTAGTCTGGACTTTTTTTTTTTTTTAGAAAAACCCATCAACAGACATTTCTGTTAGATGTTTCCAGTTCTGTTTCTTATATATTCTGTTATTTAAATGAGTTAATGCAGCAGCTGCTGGATGAATTAACTATATGGACCAGCATTTGTCTATCTGAAGCACCTGTTGCACTACAAAACGTACTCGGTTACCTAACCTAACCTCGGTTCTCTCTAGAGAGGGAATGAGTATTGCGTAAGTTTAGCTTACGCTACGGGTAAAGTTAATCTTTTCTCGAGATACTGAAGCCAAAATTATCCTTAATTTTGTAAACTTTGTCAACGCAGTGCAGCAGCTGCAGACCTAGAGCAGGCTGTCTAGCGCGCTCATTGGCTGCTCTGCGGCAAGTGCAGCAGCCTACCAGTGAGCCTGGCGTGACATCACGCCCAATGGTGACGCTTCGCACCCACTACGTATCACAGCCCGCTCAGTGGGTGTGGCTTAGCGTATAAAAGCAGGGCTCGGAGGCTGCTTCCCTGGTTTTCATCATCTGAAGTGAAAATCGCTCGTGGCGCTAGCACGGCCGGTTACGCAATACTCGTTCCCTCTCTAGAGAGAACCGAGGTTACGTTAGGTAACCGAGTACGTTCTCTTACGAGAGGTTATCTCGTATTGCGTAAGTTTAGCTTACGCTACGGGAACCCTTTGTCAAGGCCGTGCGCGCCAAGAATCCACTCTATGAGTCCCAGGGAGTCCGGGGAACACTGAAAAGTGGGAATTCAGGCACATGTATAAACATAAGCACCCATGGGGAATGCAGAGCGGCGTCGCCGGGCTGCATGTTACATATATTAACCCATATAAGTGCAGCTCAACCAGGAGAGCTAAAGTGGGCAGATCATACACATATTTAGACTGACAGAAGTCTAGCCTGCAAGGCGGGAACTTCCATGTTATAGAATCTCACAAATGTAGACGGGGAGGCCCAGCCCACCGCCATACAGATGTCGTGAATGGAAATTCCACTGGACCATGCCCACGACGAGGCCATGCCTCTTGTGGAATGAGCCCTGATGCCCAGAGGGCATTGCAGACCTTTTGACGCATAAGCAGCAGCAATAGCGTGCACTATCCATCTGGATAGGGACTGTTTCGAGGCGGCGAGACCTTTGGCGCACTCACCAAACGAAACGAAAAGCTGTTCGGGGCGTCTGAAAGGGGTGGAGCGCGTAACGTAAGCTCTCAGTGCCCTAACGGGGCAGAGGAGGCTGGCGCTGCTCTCACTGTCGGATGCTGGCAGAGTCGACAGAGAACTGACCTGTGCTCTGAAGGGAGTGCCAATCACCTTCGGGACATAGCCATGTCTTGGTTTGAGGATGACTTTAGAGTCATTTGGACCAAACTCAAGGCATGCTGCGGTAACAGATAGCGCGTGTAAGTCCCCCACACGTTTGACTGATGACAGAGCCAAAAGAAAAACGGGTTTGAGCGGGAGCTTCGCCGAAGTGATGAAAATCAGGGAAGCAGCCTCCGAGCCCTGCTTTTATACGCTAAGCCACACCCACTGAGCGGGCTGTGACGCGTAGTGGGCGCGAAGCGTCACCATTGGGCGTAACGTCACGCCAGGCTCACTGGTAGGCTGCTGCACTTGCCGCAGAGCAGCCAATGAGCGCGCTAGACAAACCTCTAGGTCTGCAGCTGCTGCACTACGTTGACAAAGTTTACAAAATTAAGGATAATTTTGGCTTCAGTATCTCGAGAAAAGATGAACTTTACCCGTAGCGTAAGCTAAACTTACGCAATACGAGAAAACCTCTCGTAAGAGAACTGTAATATCCAGTAAAGAGGTATCATGTCATTTAAAACAGCCAAAGCTGTGAAATCCATTAAGCGTGTACAAGTGGACACCTATTACGTTAAAAGTCTTATGTGTTAAACTTAGAGCCTAAATCATCTACATTAAATCTTCTTTATTAGCAATACAGTGAGATTTCTGAACACAACCCATGCCAAATCAGCAATGTCTGCAACTAGAATACAGTGTCACAATAGAGTATTCTCATTCCTCTTTCAGTATAATGACGACACATTGACCTCCATTATATGTTTTATTTCTGGTGGTGCAGGTGGAGCCAAGTCTTACACCCTGGATAGGGCGATACATGAATAAGAGTGCGCTGAACAGTAAATCCACCTCTGATCAGCAATTTTACACTCTATACCTCTGTTAACTGCTATAAATATGTCTTTCAAGCTGCTATATAAGGAAACAATCCTGAGATCTTTTTGAAATGACCATTATATCAGGAAACTACCAGTGAAATATTCAGTATTATCTAAATCAAACAAAATACCTTAAAATTACAATTCCTTGTGCCAGAACTACACATACAGCAGGAGGTTAGTCTTTAGCTCCAGTCACCACCAAGTTTAGCAAACAGGGAATTAATACTTCAGTGAAGTTTTGCTAGTGCAGATTTGCTTACCTGGTTAAATCTCCGCGTGAAGGCCACAACGTTGGGTGAAAGGCTGTGCTTCTCCTTCTTGTTCCATCCACAGCTCGCCAGCTCCTAAACAAACAAATAGTCAATTTAACCTTTCAACAGTGTTGTAATATTTAAGTCTAAGATGTGCAAGTGACATAAAACTGCAATGTCATTTTATCTACACTACCGTTCAAAAGTTTGGGGTCAGTACAGCTTTTTTAATGTTTTTGAAAGAAGTCTCTAATGCTGCATTTATTTGATAAAAAATAAAGTTAAAACAGTAATATTGTGAAATATTATTACAATTTAAAACCAGTGTTTTCTATTTTATCATACATTTTGAAATACATTAATGTAATGTATTTGTGTGATGCAAAGCTGAATTTTCAGCACCTTTACTCCAGTCTTCAGTGTCACATGATCTTTCAGAAATCATAATAATATGCTGATCTGGTGCTCAAGAAACAGTTCTTATTATCATCACAGTTTAAAACAGCTGTGCTGTTTTATATTGTGGAAACCATGATTATGTATTTATTTATTTATTTTGATAAATAAAAAGTTCAAAAGAACAGTATATATTTCAAATAGATTTTTTTATAACAATGTAAAAGTTTTTAGTTTCTCTTTTGATCAATTTAATGCATACCTGCTGTATAGGCCCCATACCTTATTTGTTATAGGCCTTTGTTGTAGGCTTATTTAGAAATTATTTCTAAATGAATTATAGGAATATTACATTTTGTAGAATAGAAGAGAAAAGAATGCACAGAACAAAAACACACCCACTGCCTTCATCTCTTTGACATAAAAAGCTTTGCATGGGGACTTTACATGCTTCTAAGCTTCCTTAGGTTCACAGAGCTATGAACACTAACACTTTTATAGTATCGTGCAGACTAAGAGCAGATGGAAACATTCGAAGGCATTTCAGTTTCGCCATGGACTGAGTGGAGTGGGGTTTCCATGTGAATAAGCAGCTCAGTCTGGGTACATTACCTTACCAAAATAATTTTGGGTCTGTTTGCTAAGTCATCACTTAAAGCCACACATTTTGTTGGATTGAACAGTCAGGGAGTGGGACACAAGAAGTCTTGTTTGGTTATAGACTACCATTCAAACATTTGGGTTCAATAAGATTTTATTTTTGTTTTATACTTTAAAAAAAGAAAATAAAAAATGTATACTTTTATGCAGCAAGGATGCATTTAAGTAAAAAAAAAAAAAAAAAAGTAAAAACTTTTATGTTTTGCAAAAGAATTCTATTTTAAATAGATTAATACTATCATGCGAAGAATCCTGGAAAAAAGGGTTCACGGTTTCCCTAAGCAGCACAAATGTTTTCTACATTGATAATAAGAGATGTGTCTTGAACATCAAAGAAATTGAGCATCAAAGAGCATAAGCATATTAAAATTATTAGTAAGGATCATGTGACACTGAAGACTGGAGTAATGACTACTACAAATTCAGCTTCACCATCACAGGAATAAATAACAGCTTAAATAACATTTTATAATACAAATAATAGAAACATTAATTTTAAATTGTAATAATATTTCACAATTATTTTGATCAAATAAATGCAGCCTTGGTCAGCATTCTTTCAAGAACATTAGAAAATTGTACTGGTCTTAAACTTTGATTAGTGTATATTAGTTGTACATTTCAATTATTATTTTGCACCCAAAATAGTCATATTTCAGTTTTTCCATTATCATTTTACAACCTTCTCTCTGACCCTAAGAATAATATATTTTTTATATATATACTGTATTTCTTTTTGCTGCTGGCCCTTTTAAGAAACACCCCTACAGGTAGATGTTATACCTACACCATTCATCACATATACTTTAATTGCTCCATCCTTCAATAACAGCCTCTTTGCAGAGTCAGCATTACATTGTGACAGGATCACCAAACAATCCCACTGAAATATAACTGAAATGATCAGTGCCATATGTATAGCACAAAGATTAATGAATTATGCTTCATTTTTCTCTTATATCACTAGTTCTTCAGACTATTTTGACTTCTGAAAGTTACAGTATGTTTTATTGTCATTTTATCTCAAAAGATTGTTTTTACACATACAAGACCACTTATGATGCAAAGTCTACAAACTTTCTGACTATCATTTCTTTAAAATGTCTGTAGCCAAAGAAAACTGTACAGCACACCACTTTATGCAAAGAGACTCTGTCTGCTCACATTACTCACACAGCACTAAAAATGTAGTGGTTCTAGAACCGACGCACATCTGAAATCTATTAATCCAGATGCCCGTGTCAACTTCACGAACATCTCCTTTTAGAATCCGCAATAATCCTTGAAGCATGCAGCTGAAATATTGATGAATGAATGTATGTGCATGTGGTCGAACGCAAAAAATGTACTTATACTAGTATTTCCACAGGCCAATGGAACTTACAGGCAAACGGCTCAACAATAACAAGACCACTTACGTTGTTAAATATGTCAGGGTCGGAAAGACTGAGTGTAACGGACGGGTCCTGAATTAGTGGCTGGGGAGGTCAAACTCAGCATTTTTAAAATTAGCTCTTTTCCAGTGGGAACTTCTTCTGTAGGGATATTAATTCAATGTGTTTCACACTCTAGTCCTCTTCAGAGAAGGAATACCATGATAGAAGTTTTGTTACTTTTTAAAAAAATCAATCAACTGAAAAATGTATGTGTGCAGAAAGCTGTCGCAATGCAAACATGTCTAAAGGAATGAAGGGGGAAGATTCATCTTGACATAAACCAAGTTCATACTCCACAAATGAAATAATTTCCCTCAACACCAATTAACACCACTTTGAGTCAAGAACTGACATTTTTCAGCAATAAAACCATTGGCAACACCTTGAGTACAAGAAGATAAACATGACAGCGCTGTCAGCTGTAGAAAAGAAAAAAAAAACATTTTCACCCGTGACTGAAGAGATTTCAGAGGGAGGATGAGGTAAAATCGGTAAAATACTTCTTTGCTGTTTTCAATCCAGACTAATGTTTTGGTGCCAAATATCTACACATTCAAACTGCACAAAAAGCAGGCCTTTTTAAGTATCCTTTCATTTAGTTGTTTTTTAGATGATACAGGGAGAAGAGCAATAACAGTGTGCAATATTAAACATTCAACCCTGTTATTGCATTGGTTTCCTCATTATAAAAAAGGAACATTTAAAAAAAATTACGACACCTAAGAATACATGCAATTAAATAAATCTCAATTAATTTAGTGAATTGTATTATGCTGCCACATCTGTCAAACTTTAAAACTTGTACCCAAAATGAACATTAATAAATACACTTTATTTTAAGGTGTCTTTGTTACATTGTAATTATATATTTAAGTACTGAGTAATAATAAGTAACTACATATACTTATAGGGTTAGGATTAGGGTTTGGTTTAGTTTAGTTGCATGTAATTATGCATAATTTATAGTTATTACTATAGTAACTACATGTAACATATGTAACAATGACACTTTAAAATGAAGTGTTACCCAATTATTTTTCTCTGTTACTCAACTACAAACCTGACACAATATCTCAAATTAGCTAGCAACTACTGACTGGCAGCTATGGTTGCCAGAAAAATGGAGTAAAAATACAATAAAAAGTAAACATATTCATAGAACAACCTGTAAATATTACAATTTAAAAATAAAATACAATAAAAATAAAGTAAACCCTACAGCCTTTTTCTGATGAACTAGCAAGACCATGTTGCTACTTAAACTGTACTTTTTACATGACATCCACCATAACACTGGTGGTAAAGAGAAAACCACACAATGAATCAAGGTTCATCACAAGTAGCTTTTTAAATAAAACATTTTGAAGTATCGCATCGTGATATGACAAAAAAAACAAAAAAGAGTAAATTCGAATAATGGGAGATGGAAACGCATTTGCTGAATAAATTCTGACGTAGCGAACATTAAACCCACGTGACTAATCGGCTATTTCCGCTGATGGTGTTTTATTTACAGTTGGTTACTAGGTTACCATCCACTCAAACAACCGTCAACCGCTCGAACAACTTTTTTTTTCTTTCTTTTTTTTGAACTTTGAAAATATTTGCTTCACGTTTGAATGGAAACCCAGCTATGTTAACCAATAAACAGGTTTTTACTCTCACATTTTTAACAGTCTTTTACAGTTAAAGTGTATTGCTAGAAAACAATACAGATTTTAGATTTTAAATATCTAGACTGTGTTGCAAAACTATACACTACTGTTCAAAAGTTAGGGTATTTTCTAATGTATTTGATAGTAATCTCACCAAGGCTGCATTTATTATGTATTTTTTCCTGAGGATAGCAACACTGAATTACACGAGTCTTCAGTGTCGCATGATCCAACAGAAATCATTCTAATATGCTGATTTAGAGCTCAAGAAACATTTCTTATTATCATCAATGTTGAAAACATTTTTTTAAGGATTCTTTCATGAACAGAAATTTCAATAGAACAGCATTTATTTGAGATAGAAATCTTTAGAAAATCTGTCAAATGTTTTCACTGTCACCTTTGATCAATGTATCCCTGCTGAATAGTATTAATTTCTTCCAAAAAAACTCTTGCTGACCCTAAATCATTGAATGGTAGAGTATAATTAAATATAAAAAATAAATCTGATTTTGATTAAGCAAGCACTGAAGTTTCTGGCCCTATTTTGTCTCCTATTCATGAAATCCAAATTCTCAACACACCAAACCAACCACACAGCAATGGTTGCTGAGAAACTCATAAAGCTACCTAATAACGTGGAAAAACAATAAATAACAATAAACCCACGGTCTTTTTTAAATGGATTCCCTCTGGAATGTCTGTGGCTGTTAGTGAGAAATGATTCCAACAAGAGAACTCAAATCCACACTGACTCAATGCACACGGCTCACAGAGATGATGTCATGTTAACTAAGGCCTGCGAAGATGTAGGCCAATCACCATCCTACTTTAACACTCACATCACTCATGCTAGTTCATACTAGACTTGTAGTCGAGACCGCCTAAACCGAGACCAAGACACTACCAAGACCAGATGGTATCGAGACCAAGACAAGACCAAGACCAAGACCAAGACAGACCAAGTCGAGACCGAGACCAAGTCGAGACCGGAGGGGAAAAAAACATTAGTGTTGAAGCTAAGCAATAACTTGTCAAATGTTGTTTTGCATTTGCCTGCCTATCTCTGCTGATTTCGAAGTCTCCAAATGAATCCATTCTGCAACTTTTAAATACATAATTATATTTTTAAAAACGAAATTATAGGCTTAAGTGCAGGATCCGAAAGTTGGTAGTTTTTGTCGCTATGGTTACACACACACACACACACACACACACACACACACACAGACCGTTGGCGGTGCGCTCAAAGTCATCTGTCAGTTGTGCAGTTACCCAAAATCTCCTGAATGAAGGTAAATCCCATCATGTCACTGATATGTGTTTTACTAAATATTAATATATCAAAAACTGTACATGATATGTGTTTTTTAAATCAAGTGATTAAAGTGCTCGTTGCCGCTGCGATCAGTGGCGCGGATACAGTGTTTTCTCGCGTGGCTCGCGCGCACCGCACTGTCTTCACTCGGACGCGCGCTTCAATCCGTTGCGGATATCGTCGTGGATATTGTAGTATTGTATTGCTCAATCCCCTGACCACTATGTCGGTCTGAGACAGCGAGACCTAGACAAGACCGAGAGGTCCGAGACCAAGACAAGACCGAGACCAAAGACCGTCAAGGCCGTGACAAAACCGAGACCACGTAAAAGTGGTCTCGAGACCGGTCTCGAGACCAAGACCGGTCTCGAGACATACATCACTAGTTCATACTCTGGATAAAGTTTACACAACCCTGACTCATTCTTACTAAATGTTAAGATCCATGGGCTCATTTCTCTGAAAAAGGCCAGAGATCCACACCAAGGTCACCATGAATGGAAACCAAATGATTCCAGACTTCACGTTAAGAAAAGTAGCTTGGTTAAGACTAATTGGCAAACAGACTGCCAAATCATTCTCTGCTCAAGCATTACGCCATCACTGGGTAGACTGTCTACACGACAGAAACCTGAAAGAAGCCTGGCTAATATTTCTTCATGATAAAATGGTAAAACTGTTTTCTCACCATACTCATATAAACCCTAAAATGTGAGTCAGGCTATCCAATTTTTCATGTTATGTAGTCGTTTCACATGACATTCCACAATGAATGTGTCTTTGTGATGAAATTGTTTTCCAGTTTAATTAGATTTTTGGTTTTAAGTATTTTTATCCAATTTGATTAAGATAATAATAATTATTATTTGAATAATTTTAAGTCATCCTACAGCCCCCTTTCCTGAGTTTCCTGAGGCCCCTAGTGGTTCCCGGTCCCCCTGGTTGAGAACCACTGATCTAAGGGCATTTATAGCCTGAAAATATTCATAATCTTCATTCTGTCAGAATTTTGTGAAAGAATGAATATACATATTCATTACAAAGGTTCATATGTTATTGGTAGTGCCTCTCTGTTTGCTTTATATATTCCCGAACCTGCCATACAACCATAGACCACATAACATATGAATACTAAACACTTATGTTATGAATAACAGCTAACCTGCTAAATGCCCAATGAAAATTGATCTCGCTGAAAACTACACAAAACCCGCAGAAAACTGAAAAGTGCCTTGGCAGACCTGTTTTTTTTACCTGTGGAAAAACTTCTCACTGATCCTGGTCCAAATCTATCATAACTGTTATGAGCACCTTCCCATCTTCACATAAAATGTTAATTAAGGAAAGTACTGAGGGCTCTGTAACTGCAGAGGATAAGCTCTGGTTAAAGTAATGGAAGAATGTGGAGCTAGACTCTGTGGGCACTGTGGTCTTTGTGTGTGTGTGTGTGTTTGTGTGTGACTGCTATAGTGCCACGTCACACTAATCTGTAGCACCAGAGAGCACATGAGATCAGTTCACAGCTGTGAGGCTCATGCGGATTGATAAACACAGAGGATGTGTATGTAGTTGCCATGGATATCTGTCTCACCTCAGGCTGTATCGCTTTGAATACAGGAGCATCCATCAAAGTGATCTGACTCTGCAAAATAAAAGCTACAATGTTAAACTGACAACAATTTCAAGCTTCAAAAGGATAGCTCACTCAAAAATAAAAATTATTTCATAATTTAATCATCTCAAATTGTTCCAAGCCTGTATGACTTTTTTTCTTGTGAAGAACACAAAATGAGATGTTTAGCAGAACGTCCAGGCAGCTCTTTTCCATACAGTAAGAGCAGATGGATACCAGTGTCAGCTGTGGTCACCATTTCAATGAATTCGGAAAAAGTAAATTGTTGGGTGAAATATTACATTAAAGGTAGGGTATGGGATTTGCAAAACGGCCGGCAGATTTTGAAAATATACAACTCAAAAGGTCCTACCTTCTGTCCTCCAACGCTGGCCCTGACTCCACCCATTCGAAAAAAATGGACGCGCAATCATGCATCTGCAAAACTCAGATGCGCGAGATTGCACTTACTCTCTCTCTCTCTGTACCGGGGCGACTTGCACTTACTGTGACTGGGTCGCGAGCTTTAAGTATGCTACACGAAGGGGACACGCGCGCGAGGGGGATGGGGGTATGGTAAAACCGTTTGATTGACGCATTTTCTGTCCAATGATTCTAGGTGGTCTTGGAAATGATTGGCTGGAGTTTTTCGAGTCCTGCCCGTTCCACAGATGATTAAATTGCTTAATTTTCATTTCAGTGCTTCTAACTCAGTGGCTGTAAGTGGGTTAGGAATAGGATTTCAAGTGATTTTGAAAAAAAAAATGGTCAAAAAAGAAAATCACATACCCCACCTTTAACATTTAAAATTACATTGCAGGGCACATAAAAGATGCAGCAAGTAATTTTTAGCATTTTTACTTGCACGTTTTCGTCAGTGATTATCTTGTGTGAATGTACAGGTTTAAATATATTGTACAAAAGTACTTTTGACTTTTTTTAGGGGTGTGTTTTTTTTTTTTTTTTTTTTTGCAGTGGAAAAAGTTACTTAATGCACCTTTAAAGGGGAACTTGGCAACTCTAGCCATTTCTTCGCTGATTTTCACTTTTGTTGTCGCATGTTGTCTCATCGAGCTCCGCCTACAGCTGTGGGGCATAGATTTCACAACACTGTCGTAAAAAAAACTCACTTGTGGCACCCTCCTCCCCCTTTCTACCGCTGCTCATGTGCATTTGTTATTATCGGAGCCGGCCAACTTTATCGTGTTGAGCTATGTCTACCGAGGTGGATAATACATCATACACAGTATCATATGGCGTATGTGTTAATGTCGAATTTCCGTAAAGCATTTTGTGTTTCTCACTCATTCTCGCTTCTCACGAGACTTCCTATTTTCAACTTACCGGGACGTTAGTCCCCATGTTGCAAGGTTGGTTTTCCGCCTGGGAACGCTGGGGGGAGCGGGGAAAGTCACCATTCTCACCAGAACAGGTTATTTAACCATCCAAATGATTTCTAAACGGTTTTATTAAGTTGAAATAGTTGCCAAGTTCCCCTTTAATAGAGCATAGTGGGTTTCTATAAATATAAAAAGAGACATAAAATGAATAGGTAATTAAATACTTGCCTTGACTATAATTATGGGATGGAAAGTTAAAATGTAAAAACTAGGCCACTGTGCACTTAAAGTCAGAGTTGGTATTGACATGAATAAGTGTGAGCAATGGTCTAATAATATATACTGATAAACTCTGATAAGTATTTAAATGAATAAATAAATAAATAAATAAATAAATAATAACTGAAATGTGTTGCCCTAGTTTCAAATCACTGCAGGTTCCATGTCAAACCCTCACTGAGTGGCACAAAAATGAGTTTTATTTTTTCAAACTTATCTCAGATAAATGTCGACTATCAACTAGTGTTAAAATCAACCAAAAGTAATGCATTTTATTCCTACAACCCTAAACCCATATCATCTACCTGGATTTTAAGTATAATTTTAAAACAACATTCAACCTCAAAAGACACCGAACATAAGCTTCGTGTGAGGAACAGAACTTCCTCTCTGTATTGGTCAATGGGAGTTAAATTGGTAGGGCTTTTAGCACCCCTAGTGGTCATTTCACATAGAAAATGCAGCAATTCATACCTACAGAAACTTAATTAATGGTAAGAAAAAAAAGTATGCATGACCGTGTTTTTTTCTCATGAGACCAGGTATGAACTGGAGTATTTATAAACTTACAGCAAACTCCTCAGGTGTCACTTTGAGCATGTCAAACACCACCGCGTCAAAGCTCTTGGCAGAGTCCAAGCTCCGTCCATCCAGGGACTCAGAACTACTGCTGTCCTGTAAACACAGGAGGAAAACAGTTAGGCAGGAAAGGGAGAAAAAAACTTCAGGAGAAAAATCAGGGATGATATTTCATACACCTATAAAATCCACATGGACAAAGAATCATGGCCAGTTGCACTCTTCCTGCGGACATTTAATCAGTTTAATTACCATTGTCCATTTGAATTACTTTATTCCATTTGATTATTCAGCCCAGATGGTAAAAGTGGATCAGAATGCAACCACATCACTTTATTAACAGGCAATGAGCCAATCCAACCCATATGATAATTAAAGCCAGACAAAAATAGACCACATAACAAAGGCCTGAGAAGGACAGATACAGTCACTATGAAAAGAACGATTTCTCCACTGCAAATGATCCTGACAGATCCCCTTTGAAGTCTCCCCATTCCATCCAGTAATATCCGTACTGATGTAAAATCTCAGTCTTATCTTCTCAGTGTCTTATCTGTTCTGTGTGCACTCTTAATTGCTAGCAGATTCGTTAATGCCCTCGTTTCTGGTTATTACAAACGCTGTACACTACAATTCAAAAGTTTGGAGTCCGTAAGATTTTTTTTTTTTTGTATGCATTCAATTAAATTGAAAGTTGAAAGTAAAGAAATTATGTTACTAAACTTCTATTTCAAATAAATGCTGTTCTTTTGAACATTCTATTCATCAAATAATCCTGAAAAAGGATTCCACAAAAATAAACAGAACAACTGTTTTCAATATTGATAATAATAAAAAATGTTTCTTGAGCACCAAATCAACATATTAGTATCAAATGACACTGGAGAAATGATTGCTAAAAAAAAGCTTTGCCATCACAGGAAGAATTTACATTTTAATATATATATATATATATATATATATAAAACATTAAATTGTAATAATATTTCACAATCTTACTGTTTTACAAAGAGAAAATGAGGCATAATGCACCACAACTGCAATTAAACTCCTAACTGGCCGATTCGTTTGGGCTAGATCAATCTGAAAATGGTGTTGAAAAATCTTTTAGTAAGCCCCCTGTCCCAGCGCAGAAAACCTCTGGCTTCACAGAAATTTGTTTAACCTCTTACCTTATGAAACTGTGTCAATTTGCTTCACAAAAATAAATGTGTCGCATCTACTGACCTATCACTGACTCTCTAGATGAGTTCCAGTTCACACAGCATGACAATGACATAACACTGTCTCACTGGAGCAGCATCCTGCCAGTGTGCATTTGAACGGACCAGCACGTATGGACCAACAACCTGCTATTTCTCTGATCTGATTCCCCTTAGCAAGCCAATATCAAGTGATCTAACTTGGGCGCTGTCATTGAACAATCACACGCAACGCGAAGCTGTAATGATCAGCTGCAATAAATCTCTCATTTATAATCCTTTATGCACAGTTTAATGTTTCTGATATTAATCCTGGCAATAAGACTAAATTCAATTAAATAATATAAAAAAGAGAGATAAAACTATATTTCACAGCTATGTAAAAAAAAAAAAGGTTGCCAGGTCAAAAGGTTTAGATAAATTAAGAAAGCACGCACTGTCATAAATAACCATACATTTCAGGACAGATGCTGTCGTGGTTAAACTCTTTCGTAAAAACAAATGGGATATGTTTTAGTACCTGTGTGTGGCGAGAGGTGATGCTGACGCTGGCAGGAAGTCCATTCCTCCTGTACATGCTCTCAGTCAGAAGAGAAGACCCAGATCACAGCCGACCTCAGCTGCTCACCGCCACACACGACCTCTCAGCCATCCCTGCAACACACATATTTCACCTTATTTCATGCCCGACTTGGTGTACTTGGCTATTTGGAAAGATTTTGATTTTGTTTTACTAACCCCATTAAATAGGAATTGTGACTTTAAAAGAAAACTGTTCTTTTACTGTCATAATTATGATTTAACACAGTATTACTCTATTTGGGATCTGCTCATTCTGTGGAGCAATGCATAATATAGCCAGAAGAGGGAGGACGTCACCACAAATACTGCCTCTCTCCCCTCAAAATGACTCCTGGATCTGCCCTACATTCAGTCAGCCAGCCATTTCTTGTTCATACATATCATAGCCATATCATGAAAAGACCCTGCCGTGCTGCTCTCCTCTGTAGTACTGAATGAAATGTTTCAGTCTGTATGGCCATAAGCAGAGTCCAGAATTTAAGTGCACGGGTAACACAAGAAATATCTACAGATTGTTGCTTTGGTTGTGCTTCAGGAACCACATTTAAAATTGTATATTAAATGGCCACTAAACAGTTGACGAAAAATGTTTACAGTGCAAAAGTAAACAAATCTGTCCTTTAAAAAAGGTTTTAAATGTATTAAAATTATCCAAAAACACATAGGGCCAGCAAAATATGCTAAAATTAACAACATGATGTAGATTAAAAAGACTGATCAACTGTATGTTTTGTGAAATCAACTGCAGAAGCTAACATTATATCCCGTTCAAACCACTGGGAGACTTGTAGATGTGTTAAAGTTTTTATATTTGCATTTTATTTTTATATATTATATTTGTATTATTTGCATTTAGGATTGATTTCAGAACAGTATTGCAGAGGTGAGACCAGGTCATTGATTTGCAAGACACAAGTAAGTCTCAAGTCTTTGCATTCAATTCTCGAGTCAAGACAAGTCCCAAGTCAAGTCCAAGTCATGCGAGTCTACATACCTGCAGTAATAAAAAAACAAAAGGTTGTGATCCCCCAAGTATGGCACCCCAGGGTTATTATCCACTTTTTTTTTTGCCACGGATCTGACGCTTCTCTCACAACTCTTTACATTCATTTTTAACTCATTGTGTGTCTTCGTCCATTCAAGCGCAAAAGGAAAGAGAACTCAATGTGGTGCTGGCACGCTGACACAACATTATGTGCGCGTGTTTCAGGTGTTTGTTCACAGAGAGCTGCTTCACAGACAACATGCCAATAGTTATTTTTGTATGCGTCTTATCGCGCTTGAATGGTTTAATGGCACTTTAATGAATGGCAGCATGCGATCATATACTGTAGCACAGCCAAAGGATGACAGAAAAAAATGGATTCTGCTAACCCTAACCGAAAACAATTTATAACAAAATTAATTTTGACAGACCTACTAATTTCTTTTTAATGGGTCATGATATCATAATTTTTTTATTTGTATTACAATCTACTTATAATGTTAGTCAGTGTTTTTGTACTAAACATGTAGGTTTTTCATGACCATTTAGTTCCAAAACAAGTGATCGGTAAACACTATAATACAATTTGTACAGACATTCATACCCATTATGTTCCGCCAGATCTTTCACATGGCTAATATCTGCATGGTAGTGTTGGTGAAGGCCATCCCAAGCGGCAGATCTTTAGAAATACTGAAAGAGAAAGAGAGACAACAGAAAGACTTGTGACTAAAATACAAATACCTTTGGGAAATCATAAAGATTGAATTCCTCCGTTTCAGACTAATTCAAACAAACACACTTGTGAGGCATCAAGTTATACAATTGCAAACGTTGATAAAATGTACTATAGTGTTTCAAAGTTAAAATACACCAGCCAGAGGCGTGGATACACTTGCTGTTTACCTGAAAGCAGCAGCATTTAACTAGCGTAATCGAGTGTAAAGAATTCAATCAATACTGTTAACACTCATGTTTGCCGTCCACAGGGATGCCTGTATTAGTTTATTCGGCTGTATTTGTCCACATGGCTTGAATATGAATGCCTAATGGCATTAATTAGACATACTGTAGCTACACTAATGTTCAAAAGAGTGGGGTTGTTAAGATTTCTCAATGTTTTTTAAAGGAGATTCTTATGCTCACCAAGGCTTAATTTTTTTAATCAAAAAGAGAGTAAAACAGAAATATTATTACAATTTATAACCCTTTTCTATGTTAATATATGCTGTCCCGAAGTGTTTCATTCTTTCGTGACAGTCTTCCGCAAGTTTGTGTGAGTGCAGTGCTGCAACAGCTGGCTGATTATTCTTTGTGGTGACTTTAATCAAGCAAACCTCATCCACGGACAACACATTACATGCCCCAACAGAGACAAATATATTTTGGATCACTGCTACACCACAATAAAGGATGCATATCGCTATGCCCCAAGAGCATTTTAGGTCTCTCTGATCACTGTCTGGTTCATCTTCTCCCCACCTAGGCTACAGGCAGAAACTTAAATCTGCCAAGCCTGTAGTAAGGACTGTAAGGAGATGGATCAACGAAGCAGAGTGGGAATTACAAGGCTTTTTCGAGTGCACTAGAGTGTTTTTGAAGCTTTCTACCAGTACTTATTTAGCATACAACAATGACAAACCATGGTTCACAGCGAAACTCAGACAGCTTCGCCAGGCCAAAGAAGATCCCTATAGGAATTGGGACAAAATTTTGTACAATCACTGACAAAAGAGATTAGAGTGGCTAAGAGGAGCTACTCTAAAAAGCCAACAATCCTGCTTCAGTGTGGAAAGGCCTGAAAGACAAACTACAAGACTCCATCCCCCAACTCTGCAGGGAATCAACAACTGGCTGATGCCCTGAATGAGTTTTACTGCAGATTTTAAAATCTCAATCTCACACCCCAGACCCACTCTGAGGGTCACTCTGCACAACCATCAACGCCTCCTCCAGCACCCCCACTCTCCCCCCTATGAAGAGGATGTGTTTAAGGAAACAGAAGACAAGGGCACTGTTTACACTTGTTATTAAGAGGCATTTTGGTTGATCGGATCACAAGACGACGAGGGAGACACATTCCTTACACCTGGTGTTTTAATCCGTCTCGTTTGTCCACTTTCGACCATTCTGTCCTGATTTCTTCGATGAGAGGATCTCTCAGGACCTGCAGTGCATGATACAATCACATTGACTTCATTGTGAAAAAGGCCGAGCAGAAGTTCAACTTCCTTTGCCAGCTGAGTAAGTTCAATTTGCTACAGGTGCTGCTGATGCAGTTCTACTCAGCCTGTCCTCTGCACTTCAATAACTGTCTGGTTTGCCTCAGCTCAGAATCAGACATCAGAAGACTATTGAGAGTGAGGAGTCACGTGCCGATTTGGGCGGGGTCTGAGCCGGCCGGCCATGATGGTAGGAGACGCTATCGGTTGCCAGGGGCAACGCCTTCAGAACTTCACAGAGGCGCGACTAAACATTCCAGAAATAGCGAAAGAGAGACAGCGCAGCTTAGTATTTGTTTACATTTTAGCGATACACCGCAGTTTCTTTGGAAGATATGGAGAAGGAAGAGAAATGAAAGGGGTTCTTGTTGTGTTCACATAATACATACAGTATACATATATACAGTTCTAGTTCTGCTATTCAGGATGCCTGTTTTACGTTGCACATTTTGACACTGTGAGGCCACCGTAGGTGCGCTGTTGTTTGTGTGAGTTCCGGAAAATAAACGAGTGAGTTTATGCATTGAAAGTTGAAACTAGTCGTTATTTTTTATCAACATAACATTGGCGACGAGGATGGCTGATTCACCGGTTTTTTCTCTGCCACCTCCGGACTATTTTCTGCCCCTCCCTGGCGAACCTGTCGTTCCTTGGAATCAGTGGAGAACGTCTTTTGAACTGTACCTTTTAGCCATTGGATTGGATAACGCTACTAGTGCGAGGAAGCGCGCTATCCTACTGCACTTGCTGGGAGCGGAGGGGAACAGGATTTTCAACACGCTCGATGGTACTCTGGACACTTACGATGCTGTAATCACGGCTTTGACAGGACATTTTGTGAAGTCACAGAACATCCTCTTTCAGCGGCTGGAGTTCAGACAAAGATGTCAACGCCCTGGTGAGTCTGCTAGGCAGTTTGTAGTAGTAGTAAAAGCCTTAGCACAGCGCTGTAATTTCGGCGTCATGAGGGATGATCTTATTCGAGACCAGCTCATTGAAAAAACGTCTAATCCCAGAGTCCAGGAGGAGTTGTTACTCAAAGATGCAACACTGTCACTTGAGGATGCATTAACACTCGCCTTACAAGTGGAGGCGGCAACTCAATGTGCTGCTAAAATAGCAGAAAACAAGTCTCATACTGCCATTATTGAACAGCCAGTGAAACAGCTATCAAGCTCAGACAACCTGGCTGACCCTGCTGCTATACAGGTTGCACAGCCCCAGCAAACACGCCAGCAGAGACGCTGTGGGAATTGTGGCTCCACCCGTCATGCCACAAGGGCTCAGGTCTGCCCTGCTGGGGCCAAACATGCAGACGCTGTCAGAAACCTAACCACTTTGCTAAATGGTGCCGGTCTGCTCCGGCTGACTGCTCTGAACAGTCACATGACCCGGTGGTGCCAGTGCGCACCACAGGCCCCCACCCAGGGACCTTTTCCAGGTGCCCCATATACCTGGATGGCCGCTGTGTCCCTCTTCTTCTCGACACTGGGGCCAAGGTGTCACTGCTGAATGTTGACACCTGTAACCTACTCTTCCCAAACAGACAGATGCAGCCCCCATCCACTGCTCTCTGTGGCCACGGCCGCAACAAAATCGACGTGGTTGGCTTACTTTACCTCCCAGTTCGCTACACCTCTACAACTGTGGACCGCTTCCCATTCCACATCACACGCCACGGTGAGAACATCATGGGCCTTGACCTCTTTCTCAGCCTTGGCTTTACCCTACAGGACAACAACGAAACACGAATACTACAAGTGGGTTCCCCTTGGCAACAAAGCCGACCTGAACTGTTCAATGGCCTTGGGTGTCTCACCTCATTCACACACAAACCACTCCTGGACCACAGTGTGCCTCCCGTGGTCCAGCCCCTTCAGCGTGTTCCCCTGGCTCTGCGGGACGGCGTTACACAGGAGCTCCAACGCCTCCAGGCTGATGGCATCATAGAACCCATTGATGCCTCTCCGTGGGTGTCCAACCTCGTCATCGCCAGGAAGAAGTCAGGTGGACTGAGAGTCTGCGTTGACCTTCGCCAGGTCAACAAGGCAGTGGTGCCTGACAAGTACCCTCTTCCGACGACAGAAGAACTGACAACCCACTTCTACGGCTCCCGGGTCTTAACTAAGTTGGACTTACGTCAGGGCTACTTATAAATTCCTCTGCACCCGGAGAGTCGGAACCTGACGGCTTTTATCACCCATACTGGCCTGTACCGCTATACGAGGATGCCTTTTAGGCTCAGTTCAGCGCCAAGTAGGGGTGTAACGATACACAAACCTGACAGTTCGGTTCATCCCACGGTTTTGAGGTCTCGGTTCGGTTCGGTTCGGTTCATTTCGGTGGGGTGGGGGGTTTAGAAAGCTAAAATTGCTTTTATTTTTTATTAAACAGTGCTTTAATGAACAAATTGTGTCCTTGTCTTTAAATTAATTCCATTACAAGTAAACGTTTCTCAAGGATAACAAAATTATCTGCTAATGCTGTAAACTACAGCCCTTACTTGCACATTACTATAACATTAAAGCTTAACAACAGAGCCTAGACTTTTAGCCTAAATGATATAATAATAATCAACACTCAAATAACAAATTGTATGAAAACATGTAAACTGCACATAAGGCAATTTTTACATTAACATGTTTTTACTCTAATTTGTTAATGTTATATAATAATTTACACAGTTGCTGTTATTTTCATGACAACTATTTTAAACATACATTAAATAATCAAGATATCATAAACAGGTTAAGTAAAATATAATATATAGGCTAATATATAGCATTTATTTAGTGAAAGAGTTAGCAAACCAGCAAGCTGTGGACACTGAATGACTTGCCTGAGGTAAATATAAAGCTATGTGAAAAACTAAGCGTTTTATTGACGTATTTCCGCTGTTGAAACACTGATTGAGTGTTTACACGAGTTATGATGCCTTTCAGTAAGTATACTGTATCTTTCAACATACCTTCGGGTGTCCATTCATGTTTATTCTGTAACTGAGGAAGAGATGATGGCGCTCCGCGCTGCCGCATGCATACAGTGATATCTGTCACGCCACATCTAAGAGCGCCAAAACGGCTTTTATTGTTTGCATTTCGTGATCAAATAGACATAATTTAAAAGATTACACCTTGCTTATTATCAAAAGTAACAAAACACTGAGCTTATTGCGATTATATGTGGTTAATGGTGGTTAGGCAACAGCCCTGTATTCGTTGTGTACACATAACACATGAGGTGCAATGAGCCGGGGCTGGGCGGGGCAGCAGGGGGCGGGGCGTGTTCGGTTCGCCATGAGAGTATCGCGATACGTATCGTGAGTGGTGTATCGCGGTTTTTCGGTTCGGTTCAAATATCGTTACACCCCTAGCGCCAAGCTGTTTCCAGAAGATCATGTCCACAATCCTCGCCAGCTGTCCCGGTACCGTGGCCTATTTGGACGTCATTGTGGTACACGGGCCAGATGTTGACACACACAACGCCCGCCTGGAACAGGTCTTTGACTTCCTCAGCCGCCATCATGTCACCTTGAACACGGAGAAGTGTACGTTCTCCGCACCAGCCATTGATTTTGTCGGGTTCCGTGTATCGGCAGATGGCATCTCCCCTCTCCAGTCGAATGTGGCAGCCATCAGCGCAGTCCCCAACCCCACGACAGCCTCGCAGCTGGCTTCGTTCTTGGGGATGACAGCCTACTACATGCGTTTCCTGCCACAGTACTCCTCTGTCACAGCCCCGCTGAGGATGCTGCTCAAGCAGGATGCTCCCTGGACCTGGACTTCTGAATACCAGGCAGAGTTTGACGAACTGAAGCGTCTCCTCACCACATCTCCGATCCTGGCACACTTCCAGCTGGACTGCCCCACATTCGTGACCTGTGATGTGTCTGTTGTGGCTCTGGGCGCCGTTCTGTCACAGCTCCATGACGGCACGGAGAGGCCCGTAGCCTTCGCCTCCCGGGCGCTCAGCCCCACCGAGCAGAAATATTCAGTGGGTGAGAGGGAAACCCTCGCATGCATTTGGGTGTGTGAGAGGTGGCATTTGTACCTGTATGGACGGTCTTTTACCCTACGGACGGACCACCAGGCCCTGACAGCCCTGAAGTCCACTTCGGGCGGAGGACACAGGCCCCTTCGCCTCTACAGATGGTCAGACCGCCTGCAGCAATATGACTTTCAGTTACAATTCACGCCTGGCAAGACCAATGTTGTAGCAGATTTTCTGTCCCGCCCTGCCGCCATCCAGTGCTCTGCTGTCTCTCCAGAGGATGAGGAGGAGGTAGTACACCTGGTCCATTCACCACTGAAGGACACGGTCTCCCTCCGCGACCTGGAGTCCGCCTCAGCAGCCGAGCCAGTCTTCAGCATGCTTCGTGACTATATCCAAAATGCTTGGCCTGCCCGCGTCCCACCAGAACTGGAGCCATACTATCGAGTGAAGCATGAACTGTCATGCTGGGGTGAGGCCTGCATCGCTCGTGGCCTCTGTGCTGTCATCCCAGTGGCCCTCAGAGGGTGTGTCTTGCAAATGGCACATCAGGGACACCTTGGCATCGTCAAAGCCAAACAACGGTGCAGTGACGTCGTGTGGTGGCCCGCCATGGACCGTGACCTGGAGGTACTTATCCGCTCCTGTGCAGCGTGCCTCACCAGTGGGAAGACTGGGCCACCCGCTTCAACTCCATTACAGCCAGTAGACTGGCCGTCTGCACCATGAGACCACTTGCAGCTTGATATCTGTGGTGAGCTGTACAATGTGCCACACCATCAGAGGTTCCTCGTAGTGGTCTACGACCTGCACTCCAACTGGCCTGAAGTGGCTCCCATGGGTACGGTTACCTCTGCTGCTGTGGTCAACTTTCTCAACCAGCTGTTTTCCCGCTGGGGCTTGCCTCGTGCAATTACCACGGACAATGGTCCTCAGTTCCTGTACTTGGAGTTCACCACCTTCCTTGCCAACAAGGGTGTCACCCATATCCGAACCTCCGTCTATCACCCCCAAGCCAACGGAGGGGTGGAACGATTCAACCAATCCCTGAAAAATGGACTGCTTGCTCACATGTCTGAGGGATACTCCCTGATGGCCGCACTGTCACAGACCCTCCTTCACTACAGAGCAACTGCCCACTCTACAACAGGGGTCTCCCCTGCCGCACTCATGCTGAAAAGGGAGCTTGTGCTTCCCCTGTCAAGACTCCGTCCACCAATGGCCGCGGGCCCACGGCCATGCCCAGCAGCAGTAAAGGCTCACGTCAAGAGACAACAGAGTTCCATAAAGCGGAGGTTCGATGAGAAGCACAAGGCTAAGTGGCCTGCTATCAGAGTGTCAGACTGGGTCAGAGCCCGCCGGCCCCACAGAGCTAACAAGCTGTCATCCTTCTGGTTGGCTCCGTACCAGGTCAGTCGGCAGCTCGGCTTCATTTCAGCTGACTGATGGTTCCCGTTGGCAAGCTAGCTGCCTGCGCAGAGTGCCCTCCCCTTTTCACCAACCTCACCTGGCAGGGGTGGAGCAGAGCAACCCAGCAACTGAGCCGGCCCCTCATGTGCCGGATCCCATGGCGGCACCTCTCGCCCAAGCTGTTCCGGCCGCTCAGGGCACCGCTCCTGCTTCAGCCCCGCTGCCGGCCCCCCTTGTTTCTGAGCCCCGGCCTGTCAGGGTTCGTACGCACCCTGGGCACTTCGAAGACTTTGTTGCTACCTTTCACGTTTGAACATTCGGAGGCGGGGGGGAATGTTGTGTTCACATAATACATACAGTATACATATATACAGTTCTAGTTCTGCTATTCAGGATGTCTGTTTTACGTTGCACATTTTGACACTGTGAGGCCACCGTAGGTGCGCGGTTGTTTGTGTGGGTTCCGGAAAATAAACGAGTGAGTTTATGCATTGAAAGTTGAAACTAGTCGTTATTTTTTATCAACATGACAGTTCTATCGGGAGAGACTAAATAACAATGCTAGCCAGCTTTATTTAGAGAAACTGCTTGTCAATAAACTGACAGCAGCAACAGCGAGCAAAGCATGATTTCAAAAGCAACACATTTCAGCACAGTTCGCCTATTACTTAACAAAAACGAACGAAATTAATACTCTGTTATTCAACTAGAGTTGTTTAATTTGTTATAGATATATCTGTACCGCGAAATGTTTTAAAAAGACACTTTTTTTAATGACGTACGACTCGCATTGACAGGGGAATGTCCAATCTGTCCGCTTGACGTTGCACGGCAGGTGCAAATGCACGTATCGGATTCATATCAGATTTATTTCCACATATGAATGAGGCCTGAAACATCAAGGATGACTGAACTCTCGCAGTTTAACGTTACAGGTTTGGGGGTTTCTAAGTCTTGCACCCAGCCGCAGCAGAATTGTACATAAGCTTCTAATGACAGCTTCTGAACTCTTGCATGGTGTAGGCAGTAACGTTAGGCACTGATACCATAAACCAGGTAATTGACTATGTCAGGGTATGTGAAAGGTGGTAGTGCTTTGGGTCTTTCGTCCATTCTGTAGCAGGTCGTACGGGTCCATGTTGATGTCAAGTAGTTTCTCTAAATAACGCTGCTTGGTGTTGTTATTAAGTCTCTCCCGATAGAGCCCCTTTCCTTTTGCTTCCCCTTCTTCATTTATTCCCAAGAAACTGTGCCTTATCGCAAAAATGCAAACAAATATCAAGCTGCTCTCTCTCTCTGTCGCTATTTCTCTCGGTCTCACTGTCGAAGTAACCATGACAACGGATAGCGTATCCTTCCAAGATGGCGACGCGTTCCCACAATGCAACGCGGAGTGAAACGTGTGACGTCACATTCTCATTCTCAATAGAGGACGGTTTAGACTGCTGGGAGGATTATTGGTGATACCATATAGGATTATTGGTGATCCCCTGTCCACCCTCCAAGAATAGCATACATCCAGTGTGTGAAAAAGGGGCTTCTATTCTGTTTGTATATAGCACACCTGTACATACAAATTTACACACACACATGTGTATATATATATATATATATACACACACACAGTTTGTGTATCTTATTCACATATCTTTATTTCCTATTTTACTATATGTGTACTGTTGTTGTGACTGTGCACTGGAAGCTTCTTCTGTCACCAAAACAAATTCCTTGTGTGTGCAAACATACTTGGCAGTAAAGCTCTTTCTGAGTCTGATTATATTTTGAAATTAAATGTATTCCTGTAATGCAAAGCTGACTTTTTAGCACCATTACTCCAGTCTTCAGTGTCACATGATCCCTCAGAAATCATTCTAATATGCTGATTTAGTGCTCAGACAAATTTCTTATTATTATCAATGTTGAGTCAGCACAAAAGTAGTGCTGCTGAATATTTTTGTGGAAACTACAAAAAAATAATACCACAAAATCCTCAAAGTGTTTGAAGACACCATGCAGGTTCCAGTGAAGATGGAGTATGAGCTGGAAGTGCAGACAGAGCAACGCCTGTCAGCAGATTCAGATTCAGATTATTTTATTTAATGCGACGTCAGCATTCAAAGCTATTTTCATGGCAAAAATTCAATTACAAAAATACAAATATCATATAAATACAATAAAAAACAAATACAAAAACAGCAAGTCATATTATACAAGATTTTTTAAATTAACATATGATAAAAAACCGTTTCAGGCATAATCTTATTAAATATGTCCTTAAGTGAAGTAATTTCATAAAAGAGCATTCTGCTTGTATTAAAGGGTTATTAGTTCACCCAAAAAATATGTCATTAATGACTCACCCTCATGTCGTTCCAAGCCCGTAAGACCTACGTTCATCTTCGGAACACAGTTTAAGATATTTTAGATTTAGTCCGAGAGCTTTCTGTCCCTCCATTGAAAATGTATGTACGGTATACTGTCCTTGTCCAGAAAGCAAATAAAGACATCATTAAAGTAGTCCATATGACATCAGTGGGTTAGTTAGCATGTTTTGAAGCATCGAAAATACATTTTGGTCCAAAAACAACAAAAACTACGACTTTATTCAGCATTGTATTGTCTTAAGGTTCTGTTGTCAATCCGCGTTCAGTGACGCTGCTGACGTAAGATGCAGCCGACGTGTTATCTGGTGCGTCCGTGTATTCGTGTTCAAATAAATATGGCTGGGCAAAAAAAATGCAAGTCTTCCTCTGTGTCGCAGTGTTAATTTCGTTGACGAAAATAACGACGAAAATTATTCGTCAACGACATTTTTTCACAGACGAAAACGAGACGATAACTAAATAAAACCTAGTTTTGAATGACAAAGACTATGACGAAAATCTATTGACATTTTCGTCAACGAATAAAAACTAGACGAAAATGTTAGATAGTGACGATTTGGGAAGCGATCCGTCAGAACTGATGTCCTGCGTGTGTGGTAGATGCGCACATTTGGCTACTGTAACGTGATCTACCCCGCGGTCATAAAACGTTAAAAAATGTGAACGTCTGGGAGAATGAGTAGAGCAGACATATAGATCTCTGAATAAGAGTGACGATGCAAAAAAGAGCTCTATTCGGTGCGGTTTTCTGTGCGCACACACCTAACCCGAAGCGTGCAGTCATGCACAATACACATACAGCGCGCGAGTAGGCTACTGAATTGAGCTCTCTTTCGTGCCTGAATGGAGAAATACACAACAGTATGTCTAAATGTCCTTTTTGGAGAGTATTCATGTAAACTATGCTGGTTATGTCTTAAACTGTGAGTGTGTCGGATGTGCATCAGTGCAATTGTATCCGCATGTCATTGGACATGATCCGACGTCTTAAAGTGACAGTGGCAATAAACCTAATGCGGTCCGTGTCCTTAATTTTGATCAAGCAACAAAAGAAAAAGAGAAAAGCATTCACTGTTTGTTAATAGCTTTAATAAGGATTAATTATATTTAATTCATACAAATAAATATGTCTGCTTGAAAGAATAAAGAATGATGTGTAAGTAGTTATAAGGAATGAATATATCATTCATTGTAAAGAAGACTGTGTTGTACTTTAGGAAAAGTGGTTTTATTTCATTTTAAGATATTTTTTAAGTAACAGCAGTTAAATCTGTATCTGTATTGCATGTTCAAACTTAAAAATCATTCATATTAACAGGTTAATAGATGTTTTCTCCGGGAGTATATGGGTTTGGAAATTTTAGAGAAATTCTAAATTAACGCATTACAATTGAACTAAACCCATTATATTTTAGTCGACTAAATCTACTGTAGATTTAGTCGACTAAAATGTTATTGTATTTCGTCGACTAAAACTAGACTAAAACTAAAACAATTCAAATGACTAAAATATGACTAAAACTAAATGGCATTTTAGTCAAAAGACTAAGACTAAAACTAAATCAAAATTTGCTGACAAAATTAACACTGCTGTGTCGAAATCCTTAGACATGTTTGCAAAGTTTGTTTTGTTTACAGCGTGCGTCACTGTAAACGAAGCTCGGGCGCACCAGATAACACGTCAGTAGCGTCTTACGTCATCAGCATCACTGAACGCGGCTTGACAACAGAACCGGAAGACAATACAATGCTGAATAAATTCGTAGTTTTTGTTATTTTTGGACCAAAATGTATTTTCGATGCTTCAAAACATTCTAACTAACCCACTGATGTCACATGGACTACTTTGATGATGTAAGTCCGGACTAAATCAAAATATCTTAAACTGTGTTCCGAAGATGAACGGAGGTCTTACGGGCTTGGAACGACATGAGGGTGAGTCATTAATGACATAATTTTCATTTGTGGGTGAACTAACCCTTTAAGTCCAGGACAATTCAATAAAATATGTTTGACAGATAAGGGAATCTTACAAAACATGCATAAAGTTGGTCTTCACCTTTAAGTAAAAAAATATGGGTCAAACTTATGTGACCCATACAACATCTGGTGTAGACCACTTGATCAAGTCTAGTTTTAAGAGTGATAAAAAGTCTGTTTGTAATTTCCGGATGAGTTTCGTACAAGTTATTATTCTTGCACATATTCCACGCTTCTTGCCACTTATTTAATATGTATCGATTAATAATTGGTCTGATATATGAATGAGGAATTTGACATTCATTAACTCCCTGATTAAGAGCTTCCTTAGCAGCTGCATCAGCGCGTTCATTTCCTGAAAGTCCAACATGGCCTGGAACCCAGCAAAAGATAATACTGAAAAACTGATTTAGTAGATAATCCACTTTGGTTAAAATGCAGTCCACTAAAGGATGATCAATTTTTAAAGAGTCTATTGCTTGAAGGCAAGATTTTGAGTCTGTAAAAATTATAGAATCCTTTTGTTGTGTATTTTCAATATGTTCCAAAGCTAAAAGTAAAGCACGTGCTTCAGCAGAGAAAATTGAGCACTGTTTTGGAATACGGATTTCATAGCGTTGATGTCCAGTCACCATTGCTGCTGTTACACAATTTTCCAGCTTCGAACCATCTGTGAATATAGGTACGTGAAAAGGGAATTGGTTTCTTATGTCCAAATATTGCTGTCTATATACATTTGGATGAGTCACTCCTTTCCTCTGAAGAGCCAAATCAAAATTGATATTAGGCTTCTTTAATTTCCAGGGAGATATAGAATTGAATTTGATTTAAAATGTTCAAATTTGTATTCAAGTTCTCCAAATGTGGTTTAAAACGAATAGCAAAGGATCTGATGCTTTTAGGTTTGTTCTCATACAAAGGAGTAAATTGTGGGTTAAAGACTGTAGAATAGGCTGGATTGGTTTTATTTGCCTTTATGTACAAACTTTGCACAGGCGAAGTTCTAAATGCTCCCAAGGCAAGTTGTAAGCCCTGATGATGTACTGAGTCACGCATCTGCTTATATGATTTTCTGGCAGTCATATAGTATGCTTCCATAGTCCATACGAGAACGGATTAGTGTTCTATAGAGTCTCAAAAGAACAATGTAATCTGCTCCCCGTTTTGTTTTTTTTCCAATACTTTCATTATATTAATAGCTTAAGACACTTGATTTTTTAGTGATTTCAAATGAGGAATGAAAGTCATTTTGTTGTCAAATAGAAGACCTAAGTACTTGATTTCCTTAACAACATTAATCGGTTCTCTATTAATGAAGAGTTCTGTATCATCATGAAGGGATCGCTGGATACAGAAGTGGGTACAGACTGTTTTTGATTTAGAGAACTTGAATCCATTTTCAACTGACCACTGATATATTTTGTGAATACATCACTGCAGTTGCCTTTCAATTGTGAGATTATCCACATATAGGCTGCAAAATATATTAGGTCTGATGATATTCTCAATGCTGTTTATTTTAATGCTGAAAAGAGTGACGGGTGTCCGCAGTGTTTGGGAAACCTTAGATGTAGAGTACTACTACGACACTGACAGCTTCTAACTGGCTTCTACACAGACCTGGTTAAATCAGCAAAATGGCCAGTGGGGACTGATCCTGGCAGAATAACGAGAGCTTCAATCAGATGACACCAAGATGTCAGAAGATGAACATTTTGAAGAAAAGCAAAATACTCAACTCATCACCAGAAGAAAGATCAGCAACAGGTGCTGTTTTAACAGAAACATCAAGCAATGAGCATCCCGAGAAGGTAAAGTGCAAAAGCCAAGTTCAGAGAACATCTTTGGACACGTCTCTAACATACACAGAACTGAGTGACCTATGTGCCATCATGTCACGTCTCTCAAAGTGTCTCCAACTCCCTCTGACCCACAATTAAATACAAAGCATGACCATGAAGAACTTGAAAATGGCCCAGATCCAGATGTGTGACAGCTGGACCAGTACAGTGAAGTACTCTCTGCCTGGTGGCTTCTCACTGGTGGTGGAGAGAAACTACAGAATTCCCACTGAAACACCTTCTGCATTTTTGATGATAAATGCTGATGTGCTCAGCATAAGCAGTGAGCTGGAAAAGATGGACCGGCTGTGCAAAGAACTAGGCTTAAAACCAAACGAAAGGTCAATACAAACTATTTTTGAAGCCTGTAGTGGTCATGTGGACATATTCAACTCATTATTCCCTGTCTTGTTTTTACCTTCTAATCAATAAAAGTGCCAAAAAGATCATTTTAAAGCTGCAGTCCACAGTTTTTCCTCTTTGTCGCCATCTCTGTTCGAAATCTGCAATTGCAGATGTGGAATTATCCACATCTGGAATTATCAACTTTACAAGAGTTGTGCCTCGGCACGGCACAGCGCGGATGAATCCAATGTATTGAGGAGAATGTGTGGCTGTCAGTCGCCGCGCCGGTGTTGATACTGTCATTAAGAATCACAGATTCTACTTTTTGGAAGTATGACCAACATAAGAATTTTCACCGGAAAATGTCATCTGAACAAGTAAGTAACATCCACTTTTGTTCTGACCAACTAAGGGAAAAAAAGCATTGCAGTAAATCGTGCTGATTAAATCTAACGATCGCTTATCATATCACGTCAAACCGTGCAAATTATACTTTGTTCTCAAATTGTTAATGTTCAACATCAGCATTGCGTGACTATTTAATGCCCTTCAAATATTTATCCTTGTTTTCGCATGGGTCCGGTTGCAATCTCTTTTTCCAAACTCTCACTCCAAAGTCTTTTGCATTTTACAACGGGTGAATCTCCAGTTATCACTGATGATTGTTGTTTGAACCTTTCTGGATCCGCCATCAAATTAATAAGTTTAATTATATCAAGTGCTGTGAGAAAAGGCTATAAATCTCCACCTCCAGCATCCTCACACGCAATATAGCTTATACTAGCCGAGACTCCTTCTTTATGTGTACAGATGTGACGTAATGACGCAAAGACATGCTCGAATCTCCCGCGGAAATCCACCAGTACCACTGGAATTAAAAACATTATTACAAGCTTACCGTTTTGAACCGAGCCACGGCAAGCATATAGTTTTGAACACTGGCTGGTAATTTACTTGCTCAAAAATTTATTTTGGATCATTTTTTAACCCCAAAAAGTTACGGACTGGAGCTTTAAGTTATTCTAACTTCACTAACTATGGCAATAGGGATGTACCGATATAAACATTTTGGCCGATACCGATAATTCTTTATATTTGAAAGCCGATAACCGAAATATTGACAGATAAATCTAAATCCAAAATGTTACAGTTTTTGAGAGCCTGATTAGTGATTACAAAGACAAATGTCTCACAATTAAAAGCCCTGTTCCAAGCACTTCAACATAAATCAAACATATACAGCGTAGTTTGAACCAGTGTAAGTTTTAAAATGTATTTTACACTACTATGGCCAACTTTCCTTATAAAAAAATCTATTGCCTTACAAATAAATAAAACAATGCCTAAATAATGCAAACAAGTCATTGGACAACATACTTGCGAATAAAGAATAAAACTGCAAATGCCATGGATAACATAAAATAATCCATTATTTATCGGCTTTAAGATATCAGACAAAATTTCTTATTGGATCGATAATGATAACAATCAAAATGTTATCATATTTTAACATATATCATACTGTCTATCATAACATATATCAGCCAAAACCGATATGGTGGCTGATATAGGCTATCCCTATATGGCAACCTTTTACATTACATCTAATCATGACCATAATGATCAACATATATATATATATATATATATATATAGTAAGTATTGATAGGGTACTTCGGTCATTTCTGACTGGATTTTTTTTAATAAAAAAATGTTAAAAATTGTAGCTTCGTCGGAATGGTACGAAACTTGGTGACTTTTATGGTACTTGGTATACGAACACACACAAAAATTGGGGACAGGATTTGAAAAGTCTAAGTGGTCATAAAAAAAAATAGTCACACTCAGGACCTTCGGTCAAAAATGACCGGCCATAGGAAATGAATGGGAAATTGGCAAAAATATGAAAATACAGAGTTTATTTGTGAGTACAATCTACAAATCAGCCACGATGCAGGAAAAAAGCACACAACAGTGAAGGGGGGAATCTCTAAAACATCAAGAGTGCAAAACAGACAAATACACTCACACACACACACACTTATACACACAAAAACACACGCATGTACACAAATGAACGCGTGTCTTGCAAAAGCTAATTTTGGGAAAAATCAATTATAAAAGCAATTATTCATCAATGTAAGAAATAAAGCGCACAGCAATGAACGCATGAGACTGTAAACAATCAAGGTTGCAAAACACACACACACACACACACACACACATAGGGAAATATGAGACTGGTGAAACTGTAACAGAGAAATGTGAGAATATGTGAAATAAAATCAATGAATCAAATAAAGGGGAGACATTGGGTCCAAAATGCAAAGGTCACACACTATGTCTCTCTCTCTTGAACACACGCACGCACACACACACACACACACACACACACACATACACACAGTGTAAGATCAAACGATGGAATTCTTCCTTAGTTACCTCCAGGCCTATTGCAGCACATATGTGCTCTTTTTATGCGTTTATTCAAGGTTGAATTCAAATCAAATACTGTCAAACCACCCATACTACTTCTGAATAAGATGTCTACTTCATAAATTGTATGAAAATTATGGAAATACATGGTTCAGATCACTCAAAACACATATGAAAATGGAGGCGCCCTTATATGGTCAGTAAGGAAGCTTGGCTTTCCATCTAGTGAAAAGGTTTGGTATGCGCTAAAATAAAATCTTGACTAAAAGCTTATTTTTTGAGATATCAACCTAAAATTTGGAACACAACTTCGTAAGATTTTTGGCTTTCATTTTCTTGCAGTTTTTAAAAAAATAAAATAAAACAACCAAACAAACAAAAAACTTGACAAAAATAGTCTTTGAGAATCACTTATTATAAATTAAAATCCACAACCTGAAAAAAATAGGCAAATATGTGCAAAAACAACTAGAATTCACAAGCCTTTCTACAGAGGCTGTAAATCCATCTAGTGGTTAAAATATGATATTGCATGATAATTATGCTCACTACATCCACCAGATGGCTCCAATGTGATTTAAAAAAATGTTTTCTATAGGCCAAGGATCCACTTTAACCTGAAATACAGCATTAAAGTCCCCGTGAACCGGAAGTTGCAAACGGCTTTTCTCCAGTGTTGTGACGTATTTACGAGAGAAACGGAATACTAAATGAGGCAAAATAGTGGGCGTGGCTTTTTTTCCAACTAGCACCCGATTGGATCTAGAAAAGTAGGTGTTTTCATTCAGCCTGTCTACTGTCAGTTGGAGGGGCGTGGTTATGGATGTTAAGCAGACACCCAAACCGTAAAGCCTACGTCATCGGCCAAGGTCCTCCAATGCAGAGGGGAGGGGCATTTTCAAAATTTGATTAAAGATTACGAAGCCAAAAACATTTTTTGTGTGGATAGACTTGCATGGATGAATTGTTCACCACAAAACGATCAATTTAGGCAAACAAAGTAAGTATGGTCAATTTTGATTTCATGGGGACTTTAATTAAAAAATAATAAAAATAATATATATATATATATATAAATTTTCTATTATATTCAATGGGAAAAAATTGATCATAATTATTGCATAAATATTAATTATTTTCATAAAATTCTCTCAAAACACCAAAAAAAAAAAAATATATATTATTGAGCAAAAATAAATTTCATTGATTTTACTGAATAAAAATAAACATTGATTTCAGGGGTCCGGTCACTTTTGACCGCGAAGGTCCTGAGTGTGACTGGAAAACGAAGAACCCCAGAGGGTTAAATAGAAGTGAAGTCACTGTTATCGCAATAATTAGTATTAGGCTAATATATATAACTAGGCCTGTCACAATCATGAATTTTATGCTGACGATTAATTACAATCAAAAAAGTTACAAACAAAATAATAATATAATATAATATAAACGCATAAGTTACAAACAAAATAATAATATAATAATAATAATATCAAGCGTATTATTCTCTATTACGTCACTAAAAAGACTAAAATAAAACTGCTCAAAATAGCTCAAATAACCATCTTAAAAAATATTAAAACAAATAAAATTGTTATTGAAACAATATTGTTCTCTAAAGACTCACAGTGTGATTTTGCCCCGTTTCATCTGAGCTGAATCACCTGCTGTTGAGACATCTATAGTTTCTATGGCAACAGAAAGAGCTGTAATGTGTGCACTGTTCATATTTTTTATATTATACACATGAGGGCAGAGCAGTCTGCAGGCAACAATCTGCCACATTGGATGTCTGACATGTTCAACATTGCCAATGTTTCTTGTCTCTGATTCCAGAGAACCTAATATCTTTCTCTAGTAGCAAAAGTATGAATCTCAACAATATAATACACTTATTTCATGTGACAGGCAGTGACTTACAGTGCATTCAAGGTATTAATTTTATCAATATCAGTGCTCCCTGGGAATTGAACCCATGACCTTCCTTGTCAATACTAGGGCTGTGCTCTACCAGTCAAGCTACACACAAAACTCTAAGGTCTAAAACAAACAGAAAACATGGGTTGCTCCTGAAACAATAATTTTCTCATCAGCACTTGCAGTAGACAGCAGATTTCACGGAGGCGTAACAAACAACAAAATATAGTATAGCAGATTATTTGGCTTCACTAGCACAATCTTGAAGGTTTGCCATCAACTCCAGTATGGGAGCAATACACAGCAATTTAAAGGTAAATGTCTACTAGGGTAAATGTTGATTTGAGATAGCAGAGCTAAATCAACTTACAAATAACACAGTCACACCACTATTTGATGAAAAGATAACATTGTCAGTGTTGTTAAATAAGTAAGATAAGTAGCCTACAATAAGTAAAGTGGAGAGAACTAAATGCAATAAATAAACATGAGGTGCCGAAGAATTTAAATGCAAATGGAATAAATTAAGTCTGCAAGCTCTGCAGAAGTAAATATGACATTCATAACTCATCTAAAGTCATTAAGATTTACCTTTAACAGATAAGTATAATATTGAATAATACAATCAGTTTCATGACATTTCTTACTATTTTAGAGTAGACTAACTACTTATACATTAGGAATTATGTAATTAAGTTGTTAAATCTTATTACACCCAAGTAACAAACCTTTCTGGACAAACTGTGTATTTGAACCACAATATAACTTCACAAATTTTATTTAAAGCTATTTGTATAATTTAGAAAAAAAACAATTGGATCGTTCTACTTAACTCTGCTACTGACAAACAATTTCGGTAGTGTAATGGTTCTCAACATGGGGCCGTGGCCCACTAGAGGGCCTCAGCAAACTTCCATAGGGGCCACAGGATGGCTGTTATTATTGTTGTTACATTACATTGATCTTAAACTATGGTTAATTAATTGAACTATATTATTTGGAGAAAATCTCTTAAAGCTCTTAAAGCTTAAATAGGAGGCCTTTGAATTAAGATCCACTGCTGGAGAATGTGTGTAGTGACATATTGTATTAGCCTTTGCAAAAAGACAGAAGTGCAGTGTGTGCCCGAAAGCTACATATATGGGAAATTTGCAACTTTTGTAAATTCATTTACATTTTCCCAGAAAAAACTAAAATATGAATATAATAAAATAATCCACACACACAAACTAGATAACACACTGTGTGTTTACTTCTGATCCCATTACTTCAGAAATCATTCTGTCTTCGCCAGATAAGGAATTCCAAGGCAGTAAATCGATTTTACTTTAACATATATAACATAAATTGTATGTTGCTTTTTTAATATTCTAATAAGTTGCTATATTGAGGCTAATCACTCATCTAAAATTGCTATACTCTTAAATATTTGTAAAACGTACATAAACTAGATCTATAATTACAATATGTACCTTGGACTCTCAGCACTTTTCACTATGCCAATGTGAAAGTAGAACTACTGTAAATACAGGTGCTTTCCAAAGTCAAGGTAGTCTCTCTCCAGGACAAAACTGACAGCCACGTAAACAAACACAGTAGGTTGGTTCTTTCTGAGAATACCACAAAATAAAATGTCATCAGATTCATAGAGAACAGCTTCAGGGAGTATTTTATTGGTTAAGCTGTCTGTCATAATGTCAGTTACTGTATTGTTGTGATTCTCATTCTCATTCATATTTATAATGGTTGTTTTAATAATATCACAGTGCTGGTCTAACTGACAGAGCTTAATTCTAAATATTGATGGGCCACCACATAAAAAAATCTTATTCCATCCTCCAGTTTGCATAAGACATCAAATAGAAGAGTATCCTTACAGCAAATTGGCATCATAACATCTGAACAAAATACCGAGCATCCTGCATTTATAAGCATGTTGTTTTAGATGTAATGGCGTCATGCATCATATTGACAGTGTGGTACCCAGCTGAAGACAGCAGACGACCCCCCGTGACGCAACGCCATCCCTGCTGCTACCGTTTTCATTTTGGGCTTCATCTTCTATACAGATAGAGATACAGATGCCAACGGCACGTACAATACAACTCACCTGTCAATGGAAATACGCCACCGCCACCGCCACCGTCCTCGTCCGCGGTTGAGATGCACGCGCGGCTCAACGCAAAGCGTAGACTATGTGTCTGTACTGCAGCACGACCTTAAGGACACAAAAATCCCATTTGAAAGGATTCCCTCTCATCCACTGGACTATTTAAGCCTATTTCAGTTATTCTACTCCATACATGGACGTTGTCCTGGCAAAGCAGCGTGTTTTGAGCAGGTATGATGTCAAACACTGAGGGCAGTCCGGTGTATAGACTCGATGCAGCCGGATGGGGGAGATGCGGGTCATTTGCCAACAGCTGGGCATCGACATCAGGAAGTGCTGTACGTTTGATAGACAGAAGCTTTGACCAATCGAGTATCGTCAGGCCAGGGTCCGCCTACTATAATTGAATAACCAATCATTAATTAGGTTAATATATTTCTCTTTGTTTTGTGCACTCTGCGTTGGAAATATGTGTGGACATATTTTTATTTTAAAAGGGTGACATTTTTATTTTATTTTTCCTTTGAAGAAATGTAGTGTTTTTTTTTCATTATTGAAGAAATAGAGCTATTCTTTTGATTTTTCAAATTTGTATTGTGAGATATTTTATATGCTATTATTTACTGCGCCTATAGGCTTTATAATCTTTAAAAGTTTACTTTTAAAGTTTTATAATTTAGCCTTTAAGTTTTTGTGATACCACAAAAAGTTATAATGATACACATTTGAATAGTTAGGCTATGTGCACTGGTTTTCACTTAAACTTTTTATTTATGTTTATTTTCAGGTGAAGTGGGACATTTCTTTATGTATATAAAAACGTGATTTAGGACTTTGAATTAGATTTATGTCCCTGCATTAAAAAATATCAAAGCAGCTTATGGTGGCCAGTCTGGATTTTGGAACATGGCAGCTGGTTTGTTACTGGTCCAATGTGGTTTGCCAGCTCTAACCAGATTGATCAAGGTTTACCAGGTCAATGTTGTCCCCACCAGCTGGTAGTCCATCTGATCATTCATCTAGATCAGTTTAACACACCATGGAGTCAAGGCAAATGTCACCTAACGGACAATAATTTGTAGATTTCAATTGCATTGCATTTTGACATAGAATTTACATAGGTCTTTTAAAATGTATTAATTTGCAATACACATACAATGTAATTATTTTAATATATTTAAATTTAAAAAGTTTAACTTTGAACTAAATTAGAACAAAAAAAGTTGTATACCATTATTGAAAAGTGAATGATTTATTCCAAAATTAATATGCATGGGGTTTATTACGTGGATACTGTAATTGCATAGCTTCAGCATATTATTATTGCCATTTTAATTAACAGGACTTTTTCTGTGCATGTGCTCCATCTAGTGGACATCAGCATTAAAGCACAAACACACAAATTGCAATGCATATTTTACTAGAATGAGCAAAGCAAGGATGTCCAGACATTTAGCCAAATCAGCATCTTTATTGTACAAACAAATGCATTTGTTTAATCTATTGACATTTCTTTGTATCATAAAAAAGCAATATACAAGCTTTAAGAACGAACATAAAAAGCAGCACAGAATGATTATGAGTAAAATATAGAATTTGAATAAATATACTTTTATATTTCATGCTATAAAATAAAATTCATAAATGGCGAGTTAATTGTTACAGCATCGGCGTCAGCTAGCTTCATGTACTTCATAGTTGTATAAAACAGTAGAGTTCTGAGGTTCACAGTTGGGTTGTGAGGTTGTACATATAGTGGATAACAGAAGGTTGGACAGAGTGCTACTGATACGATGAGAGCTAAAGATCTGCTTTCCTCAGCTGTGAAACTCCGCACTCGTCCCATGCATTCAGGAAGAGCAAGAACGGAAACATTCAGGTGCATCATACTACACCTGTGAGGCAGACTGTTTTGGGAACCAATGACTGAGGAATTGTTTCCCCACCTGAAGTAAAAGTGCAAGCTTAGTTTTGGACACACAAAGATCACTGCGCATCCAAAATGGCATTTTCTGAATACTAGTAAACCCTGAGTTCTACTTTTTTTTTTACTTTTTTGCAATGTCCCGGATACATGAGAGAACAAGAGTTTGAGTTAACAATTTTGCTGAAGTCCTCTGATTGGCTGTTTAATCTCGATGCATGAAGAAAGAAGATCTTTAGCACACACCATAGCGGCAGGTTACATATCTCAAAGATCCCTTTCATATTTGACATGGATAAAAAAAAAGATGCGACTTCACCACTGACACTGAGGTGTCAGGTAAATGAAGTACAAATAAAACATGGACTGTTGTAACCGCAAAAACAAGCCACACTGTAGAAGCATATTTGCCCAACCTGTCCAAGTTTTCACATAAAAGAATATATATATATATATATATATATATATATATATATATATATATATATATATAAAAAATCTCATTATGAATGACCTCAGCTCCTGAACGCATTCATTTTGACACATGATACTCCTGCGATCTGAGGCAGAAAGACACCAAAGAAAAAGAAAAAATGCTTTTAAAAAGGTTATTGCTTTTGCATATTACACAGTGGAGACATGTTGGAAGTGTAGAACCGATGGAAGACTTCAAGATTTCCTTTTCTTCAATATCTCTAGGTTTAGCTCAGTGTTCATAAACTACCTGAAGTAAAGTCAACATTTTCAACAGTTAAAAAGGACGAGCTGCACAATCAAAAAGTAGTCCAACAGCCTTCCCTGTAAACACTTCTTTTTTGACGATTGTGCATGGCACAAACTGAACTGGTTTTATGTGAACAAAGCGAGTGAAAATGGACCATGAGTATCTAGGTCAGTTGGCGGAGTATGACTACAGTTCATTAAAAATCCTTAACAAGAGTATGTCTTGTTCCATATCACCGATTTAACATCACCTTTTTGCTTACACATTATAAAAACTGAAAAGAAACCTGACCAGTTGTAAAGCACCATTAAAGGAGAAACGCATCCCAAGCGATAAAATATTTGAGGCCTTATGCGTCCCATAAGTTGGGAGTATTACATGGTCAATTAATCCCACATGGAATACATTTATTGATTATTATTTAAGAAAGAGTCATTAAGTGCATGCCAGGTGAAATATCACAAAAGATATAGCTATAAATGAAAATCACTTTCAAGTCTTAAGACAAAAAAAAAGGTAATTTGTAGTTTCGTTTTACAACGCGGAGGTCACCATGCAATTCTACTTGAACAATAAGTGGGCCGGCATGCATATTTCCCCTCTCTAGACCAAACAATATACATAATACAGCGATCTGCTAACCTTAAAGCATCATTATTCTGATGAGATTATAGCCAAGCAAAAACCAACTGACAAAAATGATTTTTTTTTTATTATTTTAAGAGGCAGCTTCCATATTGTGAAGCTGTTTGATTGTCCCATTTTATTTCAGCATATTCACTTTCAGTCCAAACTGCATAATGACTCTGATGCGAAAATCTCTGTTGCTTCAATGCATACAAGTCCCCTCCAAAGGGGATGTTTCCCCATAGAAACAAAAAAAGACATGAAAAAAGAACCCTTACTGCATGTTTTGATTATGATCTAGCAGGCATATTGCTTTTGTGTATAACCCATTAGTTCAATATTTGTTGTTAAAATACAATGACCTGCTGAGTAAGTGATCACGTACACTACTATTCAAAAGTTTGAGGTCGGTAAGATTTTTTTAAATGTGAAATGTTGAAAGAAGTCTCTTCTGTTCACCATCTTTTGTAACATTATAAAATGTCTTCAGTGTGTCACTTTTAAACAATTTAATGCATCCTTGATGAATAAAAATAAACATTTCTTAAAAAAAAAAATCATACTGACCCCAAATGGTAGTGTAGCCTATGTTTCATAGCAAGGCACCAGTTCAATCAACGTCCTCAACAAAACATCTCTGTTTGTACCATCACCTCTTTAAAGACCACACAACAACATCCAAAGTCTGTTCTTCAAAAGCAAAGCTAATGCTTACAGCTTCATTCATTGTAAAACAAAACTTTTCTGCTTAACGCCAGTGTGTGTAATAAATGGCATTATGATGTTGGGAAATGAGAAGAAAAATATGTACGGACACCTCTAAAACAGAATCGTTTGTTCCAGGGCTTGGTTTTGGTCTCTCTCATCCACTGCGCAACATACTACACAAACCCTTTACAATTTTTGGTTTGCTCTTTGGTTAGTGGCCAAAGTCATGAACAGGTACATTATGATAAAGGAACAGAGCAAATCTAAACATATTCAGCGAACAAAGCAGTCAGGCTTACAATGCTTCAAAATGACAAACATGTCACAGAATGACACCAAACATGCTCTGTCAGTAGTACGGCATTGAGCGTTTTAGCTCTTGTTAACTGTAATAGAGTTATCACATTTGGCTCATTGTTCAAAACTGCCATTGATTCAAAGCTCAGAGCCAAAAAAAAAAAAAAATCAAAGGTATAAGGTTCATTCTCACTCATCTGCCAGTTTTACAAGCACATGACGAGATTTTAATGGCACATTATAAATAATTTAGTATTCTAAAATATGAATTGAGTAAAATAAAATGCATTGATTTTAAGAGAAAAAAAATGACAGAAGTTTCCCACCTACTTTTACCGCAGTGCTGAAAATACTTTAACTAAAGAAAGTGACTGCAACACTAAACAAAAAAAAAACATAGAAGAGCACCATTAATGTAAGTCACAGAGTAGTTTAACTTATACTTTCAGAAACAAGTTTTGCCCAAGGCGTGATACTGGTGACGGTTCACAGAATCAAGGAGTTGTCTTGGTAGGATAATACCGCAGTCTCTAAACAAAAGGGTATGTTGCTTATGGTAAGTATCCTTGGTGGTTGTTAAAGTGAACTTATGGAGGGTGTGGTAAGGTAAATATCTAAATGGTATGTCAAGCAAACTTGAAAACACTTGAATGTTGAGAGAACGAGGGCGAGCATGTTTTAATCTGTCTGAGCATCATCCAAAACTATAAATCAAATATATTGCAGACAGGGAGGCAGATGCTCAACTGTAGTGATGACTATAAAATAGTCTAGCATATTGCTCACGAAGAAAAGCTGTTTTACTTGTTTTGCATCGTATGCAGCGGCTTATCTTTTAGAAATAATAAGACAGTGTGGTGATGAGAAATAACAAAATGTATCTAAAATTGGCATGTGATACAACAAGGAGCCTTATTCAATCACAGGTAAAAAAAAGAAAAAAAAAAAGAAGTGTGAGGTATGACGGTTTGCACCAGTTACATAACAGTGAAAATGGATAGGAAGAGATATTGTCCAGGGCTCTCTCTCTCTTCATAATGTTCGACACATAAAAGTGCTCACAACAGTGGTACTGACACTGCCGGTTTATCTTATTACTGCACTATTGTAGTATGAAACCCAACACTATACTTCCCAGCATAAACAATACACCTCCATACTATTTAACATTAACAAAAGCATACCAGCAGTAAGTGAATCTTGTTCAATTATTAATTTCTTGTACTGAAACACCATACGTTTTGGTCTGTAAATCAACAGATAACATTAAGTGTGAGAAGCCTAAGAGAGATTCTTATCACAGCTGTCCGTTCCACAAAAAGTTACTAGAAAAAAACTGAAGCTCTTTCGAGCCAGCGAAACAAGTAAAGCTGTTTGAAATTTTAATCACTGATCAAGTGTGGACATTAATACTATAAATTTCACCAAGAAGTTTTTTTTTCCCTTCTTCCCATGATGGTATGGCCCTTAGGCAATTTTCATATCTTGAATGAACCCCTTTTAGAAAAGCATTCACAAATATATTAATTTATAATAAAGGCACACCCACCCTCCTCGTGTCTGGGAAAACTCAAATTGCTAAATAGAATTGTTTTTTTTGTGCAAAAGAAAGAAAGAAAGAAAGGAGGCACAAAAGCAAAAAAAAAGTTAAAAATTTGACTTAACATTCAATTTGACTTAACTCAAGCACAAATTTGCAACTATACCATTGATATTCTAACCAAATGACTAATGTTACAGAAAGAGTCCATAACGACAGATTGTGATTCTAGGAAAAATATGGCATTATAATAATGAAAAAGTGGAAGAAAACAGCATCACATGTAGTAGATCCTAGATCCTGAAAATACACCACAGCTACACCTTGTACTAGCAATTTTCCCATAGACATACATAACATGGCTGCTAGAGAAAACTGAACAGGATTCATCCAGAATTCATACAATCACTAAAGAATATTTCACTGAAGTAGTATAAAGTGGAGATGTTTTGATCAGGGTTTTTTGCCTCCGCATTCCAACCCTTTAAAAAACAAACAGAACTTTATTGAGAGAAGCTTCTTCCCCTCCGTTCAGGTTCTTTGCTATGAGGTAAAACCTGGCTGGAGTTGATGACAAGCTACAAATACTGTCCATTATGAGTATGTTGAGGTTGTGTAATGAGGTATTGAACAGATGTGTCACAAAGAGCCTTGCACTGGCAGATAAACCATTCCTTGTGAGTGAGTGACCTACTACAGGCCACATGTGCAAAAACAGGTCAGGTAAAAGCGTGATATGACAAGCATCTCATCTGAGCTTTCACATTATTCATTATTGCAACATGCCTATATTACTCTGTAAATATGTTGAAAAACATGGAAATATATATAGATATATAAAAATGTGATAAAACTCTTAGGAGGCCTTGATTACAGAGACCCCCTCCCCAGTTATTTAATTCCCCGATTATAGGACTCCTTCCCTTTAAAAAAAACAAAACAAAAAAACAACTCCTTAAAAACTCTTTCTCTCCGTCTTAGTCCTGTGTAGAACTTCCACAAAAATGGACAAGTAGAAAATGCGCAAGGCGGGTTATTTCTTGTCGTTCTTTAGAAACAGCTGGGCTTAATTATGAAAAGAGTAACCATTTAAGCTTCCTTATTAGATAAGTAGGACAAACAACCAAGTAAATGGAAAAGGTTTTGCTTAATATCCACGCAGGGGTTTGGACGCAGGGGTTTCTTCCGGACTACACTTGCCACTCTCTTCGCTGGCGGTTTTTATCGACAAATCATCGGGGTACGCTGCTCCGGAGGCTACTTCGCCCTCTGAGGTATCCTCTTGCTCCCCTCTCTGGCCATCTGGTGCCTCTCCCAGCAAGTCAGTGTGATTATTAACTTCTGTGCCAGAGGTCATGTGCTTCTTGCGCAAGTGCTGGTTGAGTGTGCCTTGGAAGGGAAAACATTTGCCACAGATCTGGCAGTGGAAGGGTTTGTTGTCCGTGTGGCCGCGGATGTGGTACTCCAGCTGATCTTTGCGGGTGTACTTCTTGCCGCAGAACTTGCAGACGAAGGGCGTGATGCCCATGTGCAGACGCATGTGACGGTCCAGGCTGCCCTTTTGATTGAAGGACTTGCCGCAGTAGATGCAGATGAGCCGCTCGTTGTATGGGTACCACTGTCCACGGAAACTACGCTCCCTTACGTCGTTTTCGAAGGTAGTTGCCGTCGCAGGTGGATCTCCTTCGTCGGCACCAGGCTTGAGCTGAGTTAGTAGATCGGCTGGAAGAGGCACGGGACGTTTCGGTCGGGCACGACCACCCCGGACGCTGCTGAGCAAGGAACGAGATGGGCTAGAGGAACTCAGGCTGACAAAACAGGGGGAAGGTAGTGCCGAGTAAGTGTATCTGGCAGAGGAAAGCACAGGCCCGTACGATCCCACGCTGACAGCCAACACCTGCTCACCATCCACTAGCTCTGTGTGGTAGCCATCGTCACCTGCCGACGAGCTATCGGAGTAGCTGGGCCGGTCGGTTTTTTCCAGCTTTATATGGACATCTGTCACGTGCCCATCCTTCCCGATGAGTTCTATCTGTTCCGACTCAACCTCCATGGACACCTCCTGCTCAGATATCCCGTCGCTGCTCCCTCGGTCTGACTGACCCTCCTCCACCATCCCCTTACCTGAGTTCCGCCCTTCGGCGCAATGATTCTGGCGAGGATAATAGGGTGGCGAAATCTGAGTGGGGTTTAAAAAGATACCACCATCTTTCACACCATTGGGTCCAGACCTTGAGGAGGTGCAATCGTCATCTGGATCTGTCCCATCAGGCACTGGGATGCTTATCTTGGAGTGAATACCCTCAAGAATTTGTGTGCATTTGTCAATCACAGCCTGCATTTGGAGGAAGCTGGCAGCCGTGAGGAAGCTGATGACATCACGTAGGCGCAATGCCATGTGGCCAGTGTAGCAGAAGGCCAACAGCTGCTCAAACACCTCAGGGCTCTTGATTACGGAGATGGAGAGGCCACTCATTGTGCCTAGTGCTGAATGATCACGGAAGTATGGTGAACTGGCGGCCAAAACAGCCTTGTGGGCTCGGAACGGCTGGCCCTGAATGTGCACGATGATGTCGCACAGCTTGCCCTGGAGACGGAGCTCATTGAGCTGGTTCAGGACGGTGTTGCTGAACTCAGGTACATCAAACTCTATGAGGCTACCACAGTCCTCCATGACTCACTGACGTCTCTCCTGGTTTGTAGAGAACCTGAATGAAAGAAAACAATGTGTGAGGAAACACATTTATAGATATTAAAAAGATTAAGCTAAACTAATGGTATATACTATATGTTAAGCACAGATGGAATTTGCATACTTTTTCACAGTTGTTGAAATCTCCAGGTGAAATTTGTTAAAGCTGACAGTACTGCAATCTTGTTGGTATTTGCATATATAATCCAATTAGCCAACATACTTATAAAAAAATGCAAAAGACTGAATTAGTAGAATTTTATGAATAACAGCCATCCTGATTCTGTGGAAATATGCGTTGAGTTTTGAGCATGAAGACACGTGGGCATTGCTGTACAGCCATTTATCAACAGACAAAGTATTTTCCCCAGGATTCTTTTTCCCCAGTGTACAGGTCTTTGTATCATTGTGTTATATTTATGTGTTCATTTCTAAATTTCATATGGTTAAATTAACAAAGAAGCACATTAAAAAGCATAACCCTCTTGAACCTATATTTCTGGAATAAACCAAGATATTGAAACGGATCCTGCATGTTCATTCTTGCTCACATGTTTGGTACAGTTTTGATTGCGATCCAATTATGATATTGTGATGTGTTTCATTGTGACTTATGTATTGCAATGTGTATTGTGTTTTGAGTTACTCAACCCTTGTGTGGTCCAATTATATAAAGATCTAGTAATAATCAGCCATTTCAGAACAGTACAGTACAAATCTACACATTAACCCTATAAACAAACAAAATATGCCATTGATCCTTTGGCACCAACCTGCCTAGTGTCTAACCACAATTCACCAGTCTTTTTACACAGAGTAAGCATGCTGTTGTACAATGCAAATGCAACCAAAAAGTAAGACTGATTACCCCTTTGACTAACTGCTAGTTGGTCATACTAGTACTTAAAGGGTTATTGGGCGATACCGATAATGCTTTATATTTGAAAGCCGATTACTGATATATTGGCCGATATATCTAAATTTTTATATAATTTTTTGAGAGCCTGATTACAAAAGCAACAGTCTCACCATTAAAAGGCATGTCCCAGGTACTTCAATATAAATCAAACATATACAGTAGTCTATAGTTAACCAGTGTGAGAAACCTTAACTTTTAAAATTAACTTTACACTCCGATGGCCAAATTTCTTTATCAAAAAAAAATTAAAATAAAAAAATCTATTGCCTTACAAAGAAATACAATAATGCCTAAAAAACGTAAACAAGTCATTGGACTACATGTATAGAAACATGTATGTGCCATGGATAAATAAAATGGAATAGTCTACGTTAGGGGTGTAACGATACCCTCGTGTCACGATTCGATACATATCACGTGCCTGAACTCACGATACGATATTATTGCGATACTCCAAGACATGATAAAAGGTTAACAAAAAAAGTACTATTGATTAAAATGCTAAATTTGATATTACTTTGTGGGTGTGTAAATGAATAGTGTTGGACTTGGTGCTGGAAACCCAATGCACAGGACAATAGTGACACCAGAATAAAAATATTCATGATTCTGAAGTTGAAAATACAGAATTATTTTAGACGAATATTCTTGCACTCTGTCACTAGCTAGATATATTTAAAATAATGTAGGCCACTTTTTACTGGTAAAATAAGACATTTGGCATTATCAGGACCCACAAATATTCCCCCATTGCATTATTATAGATTATATTCAACATTATATATAGTAGTTTAATGTAGTACTGACTAAAACTAAAACTCTGAAAACTTGAGAAAACACTGAGAACTATACACAATAGCCTATGTATTGTCACTATCCATAATACATATTGTTGCATTTTTGCATTGCGATATATTGTCACACAATATATTGTTACACCCCTAGTCTACATACAGACAGTATGTAGTATGAAATTATTTTATTAAACCATATTGTTTATGAAAATATTACGAGGAAAAAAAGTGCTAGTTATTCATAATTTGTTTTTATTTTTGAAAAAGAAACATCTTAAACTAATAATACTGTTTCAAATAACAGCATTGCTGTTTGAGCAGCATGCGCTGAAGCTGAAGAGCTGAATGAACACCAGGAAACAGAAGCGCTTTGTTAGCGGGTTAATTAACTCAACAGAACCTATATTAGATTCATCAGATATTTATGCAACATAAACATTATTACAACTTACATTTGCACAAAATTAACTAATTATGTGCTAGTCAGAATGTGTAACTCCTGTGCTGGATGAAACACGCTAACTAGCCTAAACCCAAAGAACTAACAACGTTTTATTACTAGTGTTCTCATTATGTATATGACAGTCCCAGTCATAGTTAATGCAACATTAATTGCCGTTTGAGCTGCACGTGCTGAAGCTAAATATGATCACTTGTAAACTGGAGCGCTTTACTACCGCGTTAACTAACTTAACCAAACACATCCTATATGTGATAAATCATATATAAACACAAAATAAACATGATATTACAACTTACAATTGCACAATAGGTTGCAAATGCACCAGCGCCCATGACTGTGCGTGTCATGAAGGTGTGGATGCGCTCATCCCGTAACAGGGCGAACCAAGAATTCACAGCTTTATTTTACAGCCTATAGTGTAGCCAAGAGAGACTTGCGTTGCACTTAAAGGAGCATTGCGGAAGTTCTGAAATTTCGTACCGTTACTGACACCAGTGGCCGTTAGAGAAACTGCAGCCAGTCTCATGCTCGTTCTCGGTGCGCACGCTCGTTGGCCGCACTAGATTTTTTTTTTTTTTTTTTTTTTTTACTTACAAGGAGTTTCCGTGGGTATCTGGATTGTGCTGGAGGCTGGTCGCTTCTTTCCATCCGCAGAGTCCATTTGAAACACTACTGCTAGCGATTGCCGCTGCTTACTAATGGCTGCCGTACGGATGTAAGCCCAAGTAGACGAGAACGCGCATGACGACACATTTTGTGAATTTTCACACCAATTCGGACCTGACTCCTCCACACACAATTGAGCCTACAGGCTGATAGAGGCAACCGTGGTGGACAGTCATGGTGTCATTCTTTCTATTACATTATGGTTGGCTCATAAATGTACAAATGAAGACTCTATCTTAAAGATTTTTTTTAAGTAAAAACCTACACATAACCCTTTAACTGTATTTCCTTTTCAAAGTAATTCCAATCATATTTCACGCAATTCAAAACCATCATGGCAAACACTGCATATTTATAATGCTTATTAAAGCTGAAGTTATTAATTCAAGAGCTGTGAATACAAGCCGGTCATTGTGACATATTTTTGTGTACATTTGATAGTTTAGACACGCACATGAAACCCAAAGTATAATTTGCTTGTCTCGTTACGGTCTGTTTCGGAGCGCGCGTCGCCTTGGGAACAGCATCTGTTGTGCAGACTTTTGTGCTTTTAATAGCTCTTTTATTATTAAACGCGTCCCGCAATTTAGCAACAGTAGCTGGACTGCATTTTACAACAATCACGAGCTGATTCTGTCGTTAAGTTTGAGTTTTAGGGAGAAGTGACAGCGCACTGCTGCGAAGGGAAGGAAGCTGCGCAAGACCGAATGTGGCTGTAGTTTTTAATGGTTTTACCTCAATATATATTTTTTTAATCTTTGGAAGCCGACATCTAAAATAAAATCAGACTAATATCACAGACCTAAAGTGTAACTAGGCTACGTTTGAATGTTTAGTTCTGTGTCGTCACTCATTAAGCAGAGCTGTCGTGTTTTGCCCGCTGTGGCTCCGCGTGAGAGATCTAGCTCTTTCTTGGACTGCGAATAGCAAAAATGGTGTAATATTATTATACACAGAAAAGGCTCGCAAGATAAATTCTTTTTTTTAAATAACGTCTTTATAGTAATAATAAATAGTATGTGTATTTTCTTAATTTCTTTAGTAAGTTACCGACATCAGAACCGATCACGTCCGAGCTGTTCGATACAGCGGTCTTTCAGAAGTTGAATACCGCGGGTTTCGGTACCCATCCCTACCGGGGAGAGTGTTGGGGAAAACAGGCCTACTTTTCTTAAAGAAAAAACTCTATGGGTCTATTTCTTTTCATTGTTCGTCGTCTGTTTTCTTGCGTTTCTTTTGCTGATGCTGATTGCCGTAACTGATTCTCTGGTGCTCAGGTCGCAATTTCAGTCACACAGCACGGAGCAGTGTAGGCCTACCACAGCCAATCAGAGGCAAAGACCCGCCCTATCTCTGTCTCTGATTGGTTTAGACCACGATATGATCCAACCATGAGTGTGAGTTCCGACAAAGGAGAACAAGCGCTTCGCTCGTGGAGAGGCAGCGGACACGAGGACGTTAGGTGCACCGGTGCGACCTTGGAAAAATTTTAGTCGCACCCTTACAAATTTTGGTCGCACTCTAGAGCCCTGTTTTAATAAAGAAAGTTGTCCATATGAGTGTAAAATTAATTTTAAAAGATAAGGAATCTTACACTGGTTCAAACTAGGCCATACTGTATTGTATAGGTTTGATTTATGTTAAAGGTGTTTGAGACAAGGCTTTTAATGGTGAGCCTTTTGTTATACAGGCTATCAAAGTATATAAAAAAATGTATTTAGATTTATCGGCCAATATATCGGTTATCGGCTTTCAAATGTAAAGAATTATCGGTTATCGGTATCGGCCAAAATGTTCAAATCGGTGCATCCCTACTATAACTGTATTGTTTTGCTATAAATTATATGTATTTAAATGTCTGAAACCTAACATAAACATTATGTGATTAAAAACACTGAACAGTTGTGATATAGCCTATGACAAGCGCTGAGCGCGTCCGTCTTTGGCTCAGCGCCAGCCATAGCGTGAAAGCACGCAGTTTGAATCTGGCAGTGATGTCACGTCACTGTACATTCGCTCCTTAGTGCTCAGCTGCTGCAGAGCTGCCGAAATCGAAATTGCTGATGAGATATAGAGGAAAATATCTAGTGGAAAATGAAAATATTACGAAAATATTACGAAAAATAGCTACTTCAGCCACCCGTCTCCCCAGTCCCTGTAAGATGCCAAGCCCT